TTATGTAATTTACTAGAGCTTTATGTTAAAAAGTATTTTTTGCATTAGATATCCTATTAAATTCCATTGAATATCCCTAATTCCTTTGTGGTTACAAACATGGAATAATCATCTTCTATAAAATTAATAATGGAATTAAAAGATAAAAAGGGCCTGCCCCACCTCCTCTCATATAGAATTAGTTCAATTCTGTCTGATTTGATGTTAGACCAGGCCTGATGCATCTCGGCAGAACCCAAATAGTTCTTCCCTGATGACTCCTACGTGGTTCCTGGCTTGTGCAATACACACCTGAACCAGCATCGGGCAATGTCAGGGCCAGGTTTTGGATCTCAGGTTCCATGTTTCACACAAGTCTGCTTAGTAAATCTTCACTTCATCAGCCAAGTCTGGAGTCTTGTCAGAATACAGTCGTTTGGGCTTTGAGGGACCTGATTTTCATAAAATTCAGCTGTTTTTCATGAGAGCTATTTCTGTGCCTGGTAAGAGCCACACTTGTTCCTCAGTTACTCCTCTGGAATGGTCCCTGGATGAGGAGCTGATGGTTACAGGCATCTGTAGCCTCTCAGTCCCTCACCACAATGTAGGTACTGTACTGGGGTAGCAAGAGACCAGAATTTTGGAAATGCTCTATAAGCATCTCGGAGATCTCAGGGAGTTGTTGGGTCTCTTGGGCACAAGTTGTTCAGTCCTTCTGAATTTGGAAAAAGGTTACTGATCATTTATAAGTGGATTCTTCAGCTGCTGTTTCAGTGGGAACCCTCACCTTCACGTGATACGTGTCCATCGTCATGTGTCTGTCCCAACACCAAGTGTTTATTGCAGTTTCCTGTCTCACTGTGACAATGTCATTTAAAGTTTCAGGGTCTGTAAATGGACACTTAGAGTCATGGAATCATTAAGGTTGGAAAAGACCGTTAAGATCATGAAGTCCAGCCATCAACCCACCACTAAACCATGTCACCAAGTGCCACATCCCCATGTTCTTGAACACTTCCAGCAGTGGGGACTCCAACGTTACCCTGGGTAGCCTGTGCCAGGACGGGACAGGCCTTTCCGGGAAGGAATTTTCCTGATATCAGACCTAAACCTCCCCAGGTGCAACTTGGGACTGTTTCCTCTTGTGCTGTCCCTTGTTCCCTGGGAGCAGAGCCCGACCCCCACTTGGCTCCTCCCTCCTGTCAGGGAGTTGCAGGGCCAAAGGTCCCCCCTGAGCCTCCTTTTCTCCAGGCTGATACCCCCCCCGCCAGCTCCCTCAGCTGCTCCTGGTGCTCCAGACCCTTCCCCAGTCCCATTCCCTTCCCTGCCCTCACTCCAGCCCCTCAGTGTCTTTCTTGTCATGAGGGACCCAACGCTGACCCCAGTTACGTGCATCCCCGTGTACAGTGAGTTACAAACCGATGCCCTTGTTGGCAGAAACTTGCTGTCTTCTCCAGCCCTTGAACCCATGCATGCATGTGGAGGAAGAGCTTGGTCTTCCAGCAGCTCTGGATTACAGCAGCTCCAAGCTTTGTCTCTTGACTCCCGGGGATGTGATGTGTCTGCTGTGCCCCTGACAAGTTGCAGGAATCCCCAGCAGGCAGCTGCACAGCCGTGAATTTGCACCGTCCCAAGTCTGTTGGGCAACGCCCAGGTGTCCCTGGCTGCTACTGGAAAGTGAGTCTGTCCAGGTGTGCAACACTTCTGGTGCCTCCAGAGCGGCGTATACGGTTATTCCCTGAAAGGTGGGCAATCTTGCAGGATCAGGTGAATCTGTTAATAGAGAAGCTGTAGCTGCCCTGTCTCTGGAAGCATTTGAGGGCAGGTTGGGCGAGGCTTGGAGCAACCTGGTCTGGTGTAAGGCATCCCTGCCCATGGCAGAGAGTGGGACTAGGTGGTTTGGTTTTTGGCCCCTTCCCACACAAACCGTTACATGATTCCATGTTAAAAGAGAGCTTCACTAAAAACCGTATGCAAACTGGGTTGAGGCGGCCCCAGTCCTTGCTTGGTGTGTCCCTGGAGAGACACAGGCAGAGCCACAGGCAGGGGAATTGCTTCCTGGGTCGTGTTTGGTACCATTGCTGGTGAATGGGTTCCCAGTGGGGGCTCAGGGGGAGGGATGGCAGCACGAGGCTGATGTGGCAGCTTTTGCGATTTGGCCCACTTCTGTCCTCTTGCAGCTGCGCTTTTCCATGGAGGGCTGGACCTTGTCTGTCTGGGGGAACAAGGAATTCAGGGTTCGCTGCCCACTCCGTGAAGGTTTGTCCTTTCTGCAGAGGGAAGAGCAGCAAGATTTGGTGGGGAGCAGCATGGATCAGTTATTACATCTGAGATGGGCTGTGGGTGAATCCCTGGCTTTGGGGGAAAAATACACAAACAGGAAAATGCGCAGGGATGGCAGGGAGGGAGCTGAGCTGCCCCTGTTGCAGGGTAACTCTGTGTTGTGGCTCCAGGGTCAGTCCAATATCGTGGCAGTACAGGCAGGTCTGGAGCAGCCTTAGGACAGAGGAGCTTTGGAGAATAACTTCTGGGTTGAGTGCAGGAAGCAGACTGGTCTGTAAAGTGAAGGGCCATTGTAGGCTGCTGGATCCAGACCTTCCTGCTCAGGTTCATATTCACATCAGTTACTCTTTGCATAGACTTCAAACAAATATCCACCAGTCAGTTCCTCACCACACTGGCTTTATGGTAAAACTGGTTTGCTTGGGGAGTTTGAAATCTTCTTTCCAGCCTAAATATATTTACATCCAATTGAAGCCCCTTTGCTGCTGTTGTCTCCGTGTCTTTAACTAGTCTGGTTCCTGCTTGGTATTTTGCTTTTCAGTATACACTGATGGACACATTTTATCTCCGGTAGGGTCTCCCATGCCAGACAGGTCAAAACTGAAGGGTCAGATAAAATGTGTCCACGGGCAGGATGAGCTCACCAGCCTTCTGGTGGTCATCCTAGGAGAAGGACAACTCTAATTCCAAACCCGGGCAGATGGAGCTCGCTTAGCCCTGTAAGGCCATCCATCCAAGAGAAGGATACTCTAATTAAACCTACGTCCTGAGGACCTCGCTGTCACCGTCCAAGCTTGCCAGGCCCTGGCAGATGAACCTCAGGAGTAAAGGGTGGGACCAGTTCTGCGCAAGCTGAGCCTCACCTAAAAAAATCCACTGCGCAGGCTCGAGGGTTATACCCACGCTTGTAAAGCCCTGCAGTGACAGGTGAGGGACGAAACGGCAGGTGATAAGATGCACTGGAAGCCACAGTCCTAAGCCTGAGTCAAAGGCATACACCTGTCAAGAAGTTGTCATCCTGTCCCATGGATTCAGGCACTAAGCAGAACCATCAGTTGTCTTCCTGGGAAATACCAGGATCCTGCTATTAGACTATTCTGTAATTCTTGCCTGGAGACCTGGTTGTCCATCGTCTTTAGAAGTTTTTGTGTTAAATACAGAATCACAGAATCTCCTTATCACCAGGATCATCAAGTCCAGCTCCTGGCCCTGCACAGGACAATCCCAAAATCCCACCGTGTACCCGAGGACGTTTTCTGAATGCTCCTTGAACAACAGAGATGTGAGTCTTTAGAGCATTTCTAGAATCCAGTGAGTCTGGAAGGAGAAATGTGGATTTTGTCATTAGTTCCTAAAAGGCTTGGTCACATAAGAAGTGTTTGTCTGGTCTGGAGCTGGTTTGAGTTGGGCTGTGACACACACAGTGCTGTCTCATCAGTACCCCATTTATGTCTCACCTTGTTAATCCTTGTCTTCCAGCACTTTTATTTACTCAGTCTCTGATGGACTGACGGTGGGTCTGGAACCAGGGATTTCCATGGGAAGATCCCAGAGCATTCTGCTCTGCTGTCGACTGGGTGCCAAAGCGACTGGCAGGGCACCTCAGATTGCTTCGTACTTCCTGCAGTGGGTTTTTGGTTTGGTTTTTGGTTTAAACATAGCAGAATGTGAAGCTCCACAGGCTGTTGCTTCTATCACTGTAGGAGTGAAGGGGGTTTCATAAGAGAAGGGTTAAGGAAGGCAAGTCTCCTGCTCCCTTTGCTGCCCACGCTGTGGCCACATGAGCTGACACTGACACTCAACTCCTTTGCAGCAGCCGCTCTCTGTCCTGGACCTTGTTTCCAGAGAGGTGACATCTGGAGGGGAATCTGGAGAGAACAGCAAATTTGGTTCTCACCAGGAGTCTGTGCATGTTTTCTGTCCCTTACCTCACCAGCTCCTTGGCCCTTGACCCCTGAGAGAGTCCCATCTGTCCTGTTCCTCTTCCTATATCCTACCACATGCTCCCTGTCTTCCTTCTCGTGACTGTGGCAATGTGAATGGTTCGTGCTGGTGTCCTGAATAGAAGCAGCTTCAGGTCGAGTTTGACCAACTATTGGCAATGAACATAACTGGGTATGTAGAGGTGGGAGGTAGGAAGGAGAAGAGACTTCTGGATTGCTCAGCTGCGATCCTGAGCAGCCGGGGCAGAGGAGAGCAGAGGAAGGAGCCCACTGGACAGAGCAGATGGGGTTTTTTTTGGAGTCATGTGTTGATTTCCATCAGTACAGCAAAGCCAAGTATCCAATTCAGAGTACTCTGATGAAGTGCCCTCCTTGTCACTGCACGCTACACCAGGGTGACCTGGAATCCCCCAGTGGCAGATGGAATTACACCTAAAGGGAGCCCTGTGGTAGAGCCAGGCTGTGATGTGAACCAGCTGGTTCTGTAATCCAGCCCCAGCCCAAGGCTGCCCCGTTTGCTTTGTGGTGGAATCTCCTTCCGATGTGTCCACTGTGGGCAGACTGCCTGTTTGGTCAGGTCTCAGCCACAGGAAGTGTGTTTCATTTGTTGTGGCAGTGGTGCCTCCGAGACGCGGGTGCCATGGCTCACCCACGGGTTCCGTGGCCGGCCCAATGCGCAAGCAGATCACTTGGGGTTATTATTTATTGTTTTAAAAGTCGTCCCTTGCTCTTGGAGATGTTTTGGCCGCTCCCCGCTCTGCACTGACCCGTAACCACTGTCCCTTCTGCTTCCAGCTGACACTGACCATCGTGCGGCAGACGGGGGGGCTGGGCATCAGCATCGCGGGGGGCAAGGGCTCCACCCCCTATAAGGGGGACGATGAGGTAAGACCTGAGCTGTGTCATTGGTGAGGCACCTGCTTCTGGGGACTGGTTCTCTGTAGCTGGAGGTTGGGTGTCCGTATGTGTTGGCTGTGGGGGTTTTTGGGGCCAGGTGGGAGCAGCCCTGCAGGAAGCTGGTGGGACTGGCTGGTCTGACCTGGAGCGGCCGTGGGAGCAGCAGGTTCCTTCCCACCTGTGTCCTGGGGCACAGGACTCACAGGGCAAAGAGTGTGGGTTTGTTCCACACGTAGCGGCATCAGCTGTGTCATGTTCTGGTCCTGCTTGAAAAGGGTTAACGTGTCATTCCCTGTTGTCCTGTGTCACCTGGGGGTAGCCCCGCAGTGAGTTTCTGTCTCCTCTTCCCAGCTCCTGAACAGGGTGATGTGGCTGCCATGTCCCCACATCCCAGGACTGGTCAGCAGGGACCGACCCTCTCCCCGGAGCTGAGGGGGTGGAGAGGTCTCTGCACTCCAGAGGGTTGAAGAATGGGCTCGACCTCTAACAGGTGATTTTGTTTCCAGGGCATCTTTATTTCCCGTGTGTCTGAAGAGGGTCCTGCAGCTCGCGCAGGGGTCCGTGTCGGGGACAAGCTCCTGGAGGTAAGGGCCTGGCTCCTGTGACAAAGCAAATGCTTCTAGATGACTTGGAGTGGAGTGGAGTGGAGGGAGAAGATGTGCATCACACAGATTTTAGGCCAAATTAAGCATCAGGAGCTGTGAGAGAGCAAAACTGAATTCCTCTGGCTCATAGTTGTTTAATTAATGTTACCGTAAATTTTTTACTGCTTTGTAAGGACGGGACGGCTCCTGCATTCACTCTCCCCCAGCTCTGGAGTGTTGTGTGATGCAGGTGGGAAGAAACACATCTCCAGTGGGCTGAGCTTTGCACACCTGGAAGGTGCAAAAGTAGACTCTGTGGAATAACTTCTTACCCAGGGAGCCATATGCCCGTCTTCGTAGAATCGTGGAGTCATGGAATGGTTTGGGTGGGAAGGGACTTTAAAACCCACCCAGTTCCTCCCCCTGCCATGGGTAGGGAAACCTTCCGCTAGACCAGGTTGCTCCAAGCCTTGTCCAACCTGGCCTTGAACACTTCCAGGGATGGGGCAGCCACAGGCAGCTTCTCTGGGTAACCTGTTCCAGTGCCTCACCATCCCTACGGGGAAGAATTCCTTCCTAATATCCCACCTAACCCTGCTCTCTGTCAGTGGGAAGCCCTTCCCTATGATCTGTCACTCTGGACCCATGTCCAAAGATCCCCTCCACCTCTCTTAGAGCCCCATTAAATACTGGAAGGGGCTCTAAGGTCCCCCCAAGCCTCCTTTTCTCCAGGTTGAGCCCCCCCAGGTCCCTCAGCTGCTCCTGGTGCTCCAGTCCCTTCCCCTGCTCTGTTCTCTTTCCTGGATTCACTCCAGCCCCTCAATGTCCTTCTTTTCGTGAGGGGCCCAAAACTGACCCCAGGATTGGAGGTGCCTTGGCAGTGCCAGCACAGGAGGACAAGAACTGTCCTGGGCCTGTGGCCATGCTGTGGCTGATACAGGCCAGATGCCACTGGTCTTCTTGCCCACCTGGGCACACACGCTGGCTCATGAGCAGCCAGTTTCTCAGGAGAATGTTATGGGACATGGCGTCAAAAGCTTTGCCAAAGTCCAGGCAGACACACCCACCCACAGCCTTTCCCTCGCCCACCGAGTGGGTCACCTGGTCGTAGAAGGAGATCAGGTTGATCAGGTAGAGCCTACCTGTCACAACCCCAGGCTAGCTGGGCCTGATCCTGTGGTTCTCCTGTGTGTGCCACGCTCCAGATCTGCTCCATGGCCTTTCCCACATCAAGGGACTGTCACACTGACAGCTGTACATGTTTTGAGGTGTGAGCAGGCTACGGGGAAGGTGAACAAGAAGTTGTGTCAGCCCGAGTGGTGCTGAGTTTTGTTGGTGGAGATGGTTCTGGGTGGGTGTGTTTGTCTGGGAGCTTGTTGCCTGCAGAGTTGGTACAGGTGTAGGGAAGTTGGAGCTCCCTGTGGAGGGAGCATTTCTCTGAAAGGGCCTTTACTGGGCTGGCCTTGGACAGGCAGCAGGTGCTGAGGGAGCGTAGGGAGACTCCTTGGAGGTGTGGGCACACCTGTGGGAACGAACAGGCTGCCAGCCCAACTCTGAGCTGCTGAGCTGCTTCCCTGCGGCGGCAGCAGCGGCTGAGGCTGGAGCTGTGTGTGAGGTGAGGGCTGTCCCTGCTCTGTGCCCAGGTGAACGGCGTGTCCCTGCACTGCGCCGAGCATCACGTGGCCGTGGAAGCGCTGCGGGGGTCGGGAAGCTCCGTCTCCATGACGGTGCTGCGGGAGCGGATGGTGGAGCCTGAGAACGCCATCACAGTCACTCCACTCCGCCCCGAGGACGACTACAGCCCCCGGGAGCGGCGCGGGGGGCTGCGCTTCCCCGAGCGCCCCGAGGGAGCGCCTGCCACCGAGAGATATTCCACCTGCCTCATGCGGAACGAGAAGGGCCTCGGCTTCAGCATCGCCGGCGGCAAGGGCTCCACTCCCTACCGGGCTGGGGACACGGTCAGTCCTGATCCCCTGGGATCCTGGGTCTTCCTCACCTCTGGGTGTGCAGCACTGGCCCTGGGCTAGTGGGCCAGTTGCACTCTGAGAGCCGGGATATGCTCTCAAGTCAGGGAATCATGGAATCCCAGAGTGGATTGGGTGGGAAAGGACCTAAAAGCTCACCTTGTTCCACCTCCCTGCCATGGGCAGGGACACCTTCCACTATCCCAGCTTGCTCCAAGCCCTGTCCAACTTGGCCTTGGACACTTCCAGGGATGGGGCAGCGACAGCTTCTCTGGCCAACCTATGCCAGGACCTCACCATCCTCATATGGAGGAATATCTTCCCAACATCCCATCTAACCCTGCCCTCTGTGTGTGTGAAGCCATTCCCCCTTGTCCTGTCACTCCAGGCCCTTGTCCAAAGTCCCTCTCGCTCTTTTTTTATAGAAGGAGGGGGGCTGGGGCTCCCGATCTCTGACAGTGACATCTAATCCTGCTGCTGCCCTCTTGGCACGTATTCCAGGCTCTGGGCCACGGGAGGGCTTTGCTGACAGTGGCTCTGGGAGCAGAGGGTTTGTGTGGAGTGGGGAACAAACAGGAAGCGCCAGGGCAGGGGAAGGGTCTGGGAGTGGAGGGGAGAGGGCTGGGACCTGCCTGGCACCCAGGAACGGGTCTGGAGAGCCAGGCCCAGGTGAAGGGAAGCCCAGGCTGCTCTGACCCTCCTGACTGCTCCAGGGGATCTTCATCTCCCGGATCGCAGAGGGTGGTGCAGCCCACCGGGACGGAATCCTGCACGTCGGAGACCGGGTCATCTCGGTGAGTGGGTGTGCAGGGAAGGGGCTGACTTGGCTCCATGCCCTCTCTCATGCAGGGGCTGCTTTCTCTGGCACTGAAGCTGGATTTTGGGGGGCCTTTTTTTAAGCTCCTGAGTCTTTTGTGGGACCATTTAATGTGGGTGGTTTTACCCGGTCTGTGACAGTTGGTGGGTGCAGTTACACCTCCTCTTTCCCTAAAGCCTGTGTGTGAGTGCTTCCCCCAGGGATGACCTGGAGAGAGGTGACATGGCAGCACTGCCCCAGCCTGATGTCCCTCCAGAGCTTGGGGATAGCCCGAGGGGGCTCTGCCTTGGCGAGTGGAAGGGACGGAGCCCTTTCGGACACAGTGGGGTCAGCGTGAGCTGGAGCAGAGGGGGCTGCCCAAAGGTGCTGTGGAGCAGGGCAGGGGTAGCTCGGTGCTCCCCTGCTTCACTCGGAACTCTGGCCCGTTTCCTGTCCTGTCTGTGCGGGTCTCACTGCTCTAACCTCATGTCTCTGCCTACTGTCCCTTGCTCCCCTCCTCCAGGGAGCCTCTTCTGAGCCTCCCGACCCTCTCCCCGTGCTCACGTGCTGCCTGCGAGGGAAAGCTCCTGCATCCTGGTGCTGGTGGTGGGTTTCTGGCCCAGCTGCTGTGGTAAGAGCACGTGTTACCACAGCGCTGGCGTGAGTAAACACTGATACAGCCTCGTCAGTGCTGGCTTCTGTCTGCTCTATCCCTGGGCTGGGGCTGTGTTGTATTTGCTCGGGGACATTTCAGTGGAGCTCAGGCCCAGGTCCTACAGTAGTTTTTTGGCAGGAGACTTCAGTTGGTACAGCATCACTCCCTTCTTGCTAGTGCTCCCCACTCCTTCTAAAATCAAGCCCTGACCCTGACTGGTGCCACATAGACCAAATTATTTTGGGTTTGCTCATGTTTTAGTGCTCCCTGGTACAGAGGCAGGACTGAGGCCCAGCATTTGGGGTTGGTTTGCTCTGTCTGTGGCAAGAAGAGGGAAGATCTTAGAGTCAAAAAGTCAAACCTGTCTCCACCCCCCTTCAGCAGCTCTATTTATACCCATGGGCAGCTTTGTAGGAAAAGCAGATCTAATTCCCTAGTAATAGCTTGCAGTGAATTCCAGGCGGGTCGTGTGGGCTGAAGGCTTACAGGGCTCGGGGGCCTGTGCTGGATTTTGATGTGGCTGAGGCCTTGCTGTCATTAGTCCCAACACCCCCAGTGGGGTCCCCTCGGTACCTGTGACAGGTGATTGTGGCCATACAGGTTTGGTGCTGAGCACGAGCTGCAGCTCAGGTCCTGTGCTCAGCCCTGATGAATGCAGGAGCAGGTTACTGCTTTCCAGGAGAACACCCACTGGACTATTCCCATAACTTCCGAGCAGCCTGCTTTCCACACCCTTTTGAAGCAGTGGTTGCCCATTTTTGTTGGAAGAGCTCCAGGCTGTGGTGATTCCTGGGATGTGGGTGCAGGCTGCATGTGTTCCCTGTACCTGCATGGGGAAGGGGAGGACCCCAGTACCCGCTAGGTACTGGGCACATGGGTCCCACGGGCAGGGCCTATTTCCAAAGCCGTGGTCTCCTGGGCGTGCCTCAGCTCTAACTTTGCCAAGGATCTTGTTTTCTTAGGGAAACAAATACAGCACAGCTTCGTGCTCTTCCCCTGTGCTCTAAACCCTCCTGGACCTTTCCACAAGGGAAGGACCAGAATCGCTCCTTTGACTTTCCTAAGGGAGCTTTGAGCACATGGACTGAAGAGCCCAGCCTAGGTCTCCTCTCCGAGTTAACACCTCCCAAAATTCCCCAGAGAGTGACACTCACTCCCCAGCTTCCCTGTATTCCCATATCTCTTGGGAGTCCTTTTGGTGGGGGAAGTCATGGGGCAGGGAGCTGCTGGGGGCAGTGTCAGAGAGTTGGAGTTGTGGGATGGGAATCTAGCAGGGAAGGTGCAGGATTGGGAGCAGTCACTAAAGACATCCTTTTTTTTTTTGAAGGGACTGGGAGTAGGCTAAAGAAAACTGATTCTGGGGAGATTTAGGACAGTGGTAGGTGACACGTGGAGTCCTAATGAGGCAGTTTGATCCCTGAGAGTTTCGCCAGGATAATATAATTTCCTATCCCTTCCTCTTGGGCAGTCAGAGAGCTGCGCTGCATTGCTGACCTTGCTTTCTAGCTAGATAAAGGCCATGGAAAATGAGCTGCCTAAAGGCTGGGAGGGCTCCAGCATCGCCAGGTAATGGAGAATTACTGGGTGAAGTGCATCGAGGGCTGTTACACCTGATACACCTCTGACCCTGGGAGTCCCGTGCCCTGATCCCTGCGCTGGGGAGGTACCTCTGAACCCTTCTGGTCCGACCCCCTCATCGTATCAGGGACAGGAAAATAGCAGAGGGGATGTGGGAAATCAAGAGTGGGTGATGCTGGAGCAGGTCTGTCTGTGGAGTATTGTTGTAGAGTCACAGAGTCAGAGCAAGGCTTGGGTTGGAAGGGATCTTAAAGATCATCTTGTTCCAGTTCAGTGATTTTGTTGGGCCTTGATCTGGTAGTAGAACCCAGAGTCTCTCCTGCATGTCACTTTTGTTAACTGTCTGAGGACCCAAGGGATCCTCCCTTCCCACTCCTCTGGACACATGGCTGCCACTTTCCCTGCTCCCAGGTCCAGCCATCAGCAGGGATAAGTGCAGATTCCAAAGGTGGAACACACTGCAGACCTGGCTGGCTCCAGATTCGCACAAGCAAGAGGTGGGGGCAGTACCTTTACAGGTGCACACCTGAGCACAAGGAGTCCTCACGGGGCAGGAACAACAGCCAGCTTCCCCCAGGTCCTGCCTACCAGCTCATTGGGTTTGCTGGTGGAATGGGCACACATTCCCTGCCTCTCTCAGGGAAATGCTCGTGTCTGTAGGTCTCCAGCCTGTGGCCCAAGCATTGAGGTCTTTGAGGCTCTTTGGCCAGACCCTGAGCTTTTCATCCAGCTTCTGGACCAGCTCTTGGCTCTCCCTGCCTTTTGGATTCCTGCTTGCTGGCTAGTCCAGCTTGAATTTTACCAGTAGCTCTCACGCATGTACCCAGAACAGCGTGAACTGGCACAGTTCATACAGAATGGGGGAGAAGGCAGAGCAGATGTGGTGATCAGGCCCAGGGCTTGGCCACAGTGGCACTGACCAGCAGCCTCTTGTTCTCCACCCTCAGCATTTCCCTGTGCTAGTTCCTCCTCATTCATCCTGGGCCAGTCCCCTTTCCCTTTTGGTAAACATTCCATAATAAGTGCTGCACATTCCCACAACCCACCTTAAAGCTTCCTGCAGCCAGCTGGCCCTTTCCACTAGAGCTGTGCTGAGATAACCCCTCATAATCTCCACTGCCTCTGTGGATGGGTTGCCAAGTTTGACTGCACTTCTCTAACGTGGGTGATTCCTTTGATGATCCATTCAGGAGTGTTCAAGCCCCGTCTGTGCTACTTGCATTCCATTAAGGTCTGTGCACCTTTGTGGTTAATCTGTTGCCTTTCCTGCTTGCTGCCTTGTCACCTGTGCTCAGCAGCCACTACCCAGGTCCTTTTCATCCTTCCTCTTCCTGCGGGCATGTGCCAGCTGCTGCCTTCACATCCTTGTGGTTGGTGCCAGAGGTGTCCCATGGGGACAGTCCCCTCAGCAGGGTTGACACTGTGGGGCTCAGATTTTCCAGCACAGAACAGGATTGCTTGTGGTTCTCCTTCCCTGTCGCGGTGGGAGCAGCACCTGTGACTGTGGGCGGGACAGGGCCGGTCGGGTGAGTGCTGGGGGTGTCTTGGGGTTCTGGACAAAACCCTGTCAGACTGTGTGTGTCAGCTCAGTGCAGGAACTGCTCTCTGGAAAGGAGCTGGGGAGTAACGATATTTGGGAATCAGGCTGTGAGGAATTGGGCTACAAAGCCCAATTGCTGTGGCTGTTGCAGTCATGTTATTTCATGAGCTAGTCAAACCCCATCTTGGCAGCTGCTGTTTTCACGTCCTCGTTCATTTTGCAAAGCTTTTACAGAACCTAATGACCTTTTAATTTCCAGCTTCAACTTTCTCCTGGCAAGTTTTGTCCTTTTGGCATTGTTCTTCCAGCTTGGCTCTTGGTTTTCTGCCTCTCATACATTTGTGGAGAACAGTTGCATCCCTCTGGTCCTTTGAGTTTCAAGGGAAGCTGTTTTAATTTTGTAGGAAAGGCTCTCTGTGCTTCCTGGTCTCTCTGTACCTGGGGTCACTTTTAATGCCTTAGAGCTGTCGTCTCCCCCGGGCTGCCATGACCTTGCCCAGCGCAGGTGGCCACCAGTGGCCGGGTGACCAGTGACAAATCTACCTTTCAGTGCCTATGTCTGGGCTTTGGGTGGCTGATAAGGTCAGGTGGCCCGGTGACAATGCAGCATGTGCTGCAGCACATCGATTTGTTGTGGCATCGTGGCTGAAAATTGCTCTTTTGGCTTCTCCCACGTTGAGATGTTTGGCCCCATTCCTTTACTACAGCCTCTTGTCCCAGTGGGAAGCTGGAATGCTGGGAGTGCTGGGGTGTTCTCCTGGGTGAGCATAGGCCAGGCCCAGCTGGGTTGGTTGGGGTGTGGGAGGTGGAGCATCCCATGTGGCCTGTGGGGTCCCCTGGAGCATCAGTGCTGCAGGGCACCAGCTGCACAGGGAAGGTGGGAAAGGGGCAGGAAAGCTGTCTAGGAAGGGGGTTGGGATCAGGCAGGAATGAGCAGGCCCCCGTGTCCCTTCGCCAGGTAGGAGGGAGCGGGATGAGTTACAGGATGGAGCACAGGTGTTTGAGCTGGGGCCGTGTTCCAGCAGAATGGGGTCCCTCAGGGGCTTGGCTGAGCGCTGGAAATGCCGGGGAGTGCCGGGGCAATGGACTGACACCGAGTTTGCGGGTTGTTCTAGATCAATGGGGTAGACATGACAGAAGCCAGGCATGATCAGGCCGTAGCGCTGCTTACCGCGGCCTCCCCCACCATCGTGCTGCTGGTAGAGAGAGAGGGCTCGGAGCAGCCCGGCGAGGGAGACTCGCCTGGCGCGCCCCGCGTGCGCATGCACTCCCCCCCGCCGCTCCCCGGCCCTGGGGGCAGCCCACCCGAGGAGACGCCCGCGCCGCAGAGGAACCACCTCCCCAAAGGCCTGGAGGATCAGTACCCCATCGAGGTGAGCCCGGCCTGGGGATATGGGATGGTGCAATCCTGGGTGGGTTTCATTTGCAGACGTGGTGTTGGGGTGGGAGTTGGCGCGCCGGGTTCTCGGGGCGCGGCAGAGTCATCGCAGAAAAGCTTGGGGTGCAAGGGACCTAAAAGCCCATCCATTTCCACCCCCTGCCATGGGCAGGGACACCTTCCACTAGACCAGGTTGCTCCAAGCCCCATCCAACCTGGCCTTGAACACTTCCACAGGGATGGGGCAGCCACAGCTTCTCTGGGCAACCTGTGCCAGGGCCTCCCCACCCTCACAGGGAAGAATCTCTCCCCAGTATCCCATCTAACTCTACCCTCTGTCCGTGTGAAGCCATTCCCCCTTGTCCTGTCACTCCAGGTCCTTGTCCAAAGTCCCTTTCCGGCTCTCTTGGAGCCCCTTCCAGCTCTTCTCCCGCAAGGGGAAACCCTCTTGTCTTGTGTGTGTTCACCCATCAAAACACCCCTAATTCCATGGTTTTAGTGTTTGTGGTCCTTATGTGATATCCCTCATTCCCTTTGACTCCTTTTCTTGTTCCCTCAAGGAAATCCACCTGGTGAAAGCGGGTGGTCCCCTGGGCCTCAGCATCGTCGGAGGCAGTGACCATTCCAGCCATCCCTTTGGGATTCATGAGCCAGGGGTCTTCATCTCCAAGGTAGAGTTTGAGGAGAGGCGCCCACCCCTGAGCTGTTGGATTATTGGGGTTAAGGTGAAAGGTTTTGATGCGAGCCCAGAAGTATAGGATGGATTTATGAAATAAAGGGATGGGAGGGGGATGTGTGAAGGGTTGTACTGGATGTGCTGCTGCTGCTGCTGGAACCATCTAAGGGCACATAAAAGCCTCAAACCTGTGTAATCTGTGCCGAACCCTTCGGAGGGATCCCAGTTAGCTTCTGAAATTGCTGAGCTCCTTTTGGCTTTAGCGAGTCATGAGAAAATGCTGGCCCTGCAGAAAGCCAGTCATCACTGGTGGGATGAGTGCAGGGAGACCCAGAACTGCTCTGCTGCACTCAGGCCAATGCCCTTCGACCCCACGTTCCTGTTCCAGCAGTGACATCAGCTAATGCCATTTAGGGACAGCACACAGGCCAGTCACTGGCTGCAGCCCATTCCCTCACAGTCCTGCACATCCGTGCTCCTTAGATTAGGGATGCTGGAGAGGACATCCCTGCCCAGCCCTTTCTGCTTTCCAACATCTCTTGTCCGATGGAGATGCTGAATCTGTCTCCTCTGACACCCATGGCTGGGAGTCAGGATTCAGACCTTGTCAAGGGCTGTTAGGAATTCTGGAAGTGATGCCTGCCAGATCCCTTCCTTCATGTGTCCATTGTTCCCCTAGCAGTACTTCAGCAGGTCAGTGGAGCAGGATTTGCTCTTCCCAAAGCCAAACTAACCTTTTCCCACCATCCCTGCTTGCCCACATACTCACAGATGTCAGCCTTTCCTTGCTGACTCCTTTGTTTTACCAGAAGCAGAGGTTTGGTGCCATGGTTAGTCCCTCTGTAGCTCTCAGGATCCCCTGTAGAGAGCACTGGGTGAGGGCTGGAGTTGTACTGGTGCTGTCAGTCTTGATTACAATCACGGACAAAAAAATGGCAAAGCTGGAACAGCTTTGGTTTAGATAAAATTGGGAATATGAGAAAAACATACAGAAATGGCCGTTCAAAGCAAATCCCGCTTCATTCTTTGCCAGTGTTCACAGGTATATCACCTCTTGGGGAACTTGGGCTGCAGGGGGAGGAGTCAAAACAGGCTGGGAGGATGCCCAGGGACACAGTCATATCTCCAAGGAGAGATGGAATTCCCTTCTCCAGTTATACTGATGGTTCTCCGCAGGTCATTCCCCGGGGCCTGGCATCCCGCAGCGGGCTCCGTGTCGGGGACAGGATCCTGGAGGTGAACGGCATCGACCTGCGCCATGCCACCCACCAGGAAGCGGTGAACGCTCTGCTCTCCAACGCCCAGGAACTCACCATGGTGGTCCGGAGGGACCCGCCTCCGCCTGGTATGCAGGTGGGTTCTGAGTGAGAGGACTGGGGGCAATCACGCAAGGTCACTTCTGGAGGCAGTTTCTTACCTGGCTGGAGGTCTGGGACTAGGACACCACCAGACTTCTGTTTGGAATTTCCTTCTTTGGAAGGATCCAGTCTCTTGTAAGCGTATTTCCAGTGGGAGAGTGGTGAGGCTCTCTTGCCTTGCCCGTGGTGACTCTGTCATCAGAGAATGACCAGATTCCATGAAGACCACACCTGAGCAGGGAACAGAAAAGGGCAGAGCCTCACCAAAGAGAACAAACTGCCAGGTGAGGGACAGGATTAATTCAGGACCTCTTCAGGGCATTGAGAATATGGCCACTCCAAGGAGTGTTCCCCCAGCTATCCCAGCATGATCTTGTCCCAAAAACAAGAACACTTTTCTGTGTTTCCAGGAAATATGTATTGAAAAGGCTCCAGGAGAGAAGCTGGGCATCAGCATCCGGGGTGGAGCCAAGGGCCATGCTGGCAATCCGTTTGATCCCACCGATGAAGGCATCTTCATTTCCAAGGTACCAGAGCATTAACTCTGCAGGTCAATGCCATGCGAGGACTGCCAGGAGAAGGGTGATCCTTGGGGGATCTGTTGGGTGTGCTCTCTCTGCTTTCACTGTTGCAGCAGTTCTAGAGACTCTTCCTCCACCTAAGGAGGCAAATCCCTGTCCTTTCATATTTCCTCCTCTACAACAGCTACACCATTTGTTCTTCCATTTTCTGTTTGCCTTTATTTTGCCTTGTGTTTCCTCTCACATTTTTTTCTGTAATGTGAACCCACACATCCTTCCTTTTCCCCACATTCCTGTTGCTTCCCACATGCCTGTGGCTTCCTGCCCCCTCTGACGCATGAGCTCTTCCCTCCTTCCATGGGGAGCATCAGGAATTACTCCCCTTTTCCTCCTGTGCCACACACCCTGTGACTGCTTGTGTCACACTTATTCTCGAATCACTTTTCCCCCAGAAGTAACACGTGTTTTCTTGTTTTCTTCTTCCTCTTTGCATGTCTGATCCCTGCCTACTTCCTCCTTAGTTTGTCTTCATTTGCATTTCCATTGTGTCTCTCCCCCACCAAACAGTGATTTCCCTTTCTGAGATCCCATCATGATTTGAGAGCTTTTCCTTCTCACCAGCTTCACTGGCAAAGCCAAAGCAGTTTGTTTCCTTGGGACAGCACATTTCAAATTCACAGTCTTTTATCTCCCATAAGAGATTCTTGCACACCTGTCTCCTCTACCAGTCTGTACAGGCTCTTCCTTCCCTGCTCTCTCCATGAGTCTACTGCAGTACTTGCAGATGCTTCTCCTGACTCGTTGTCCCCTCTCGCTCTGTCCTCCCGATGGTCCCCGTGCTCTCTGATCTCCTCTGTCACCTCTCCAGTGACACCGTGACCTACCCCGGTTTGTTCCAGGTGAGCTCCTCTGGGGCTGCGGCCCGGGACGGCCGCCTGAAGGTGGGGATGCGGATCCTGGAGGTGAATCACCAGAGCCTGCTGGGAATGACGCACACGGAAGCGGTGCAGATCCTCCGAGGGGTGGGCGATGCGCTCCTCGTGCTGGTGTGCGACGGCTTCGACCCCAAGGCTGCAGCTGCCATCGAGGTGAGGACTGGAGTCCCAACCTTTTGCTGTAGATTTTTTTTTTTGAGGTCCCAGATTTCAAAGTCTGACCTATGATATGAACCAGAGGCGGTTGCCAGTCCAGAAAAGCAGTGGTCCCTCAGTACTGTCTCGTTCCTGCTGCTTCCAGAGCTGTCCCATGCTAGCACTGCACTGAAATGAAGTTTTCAAGCTCACTTTCCCCAGGCTATTATTTGGGCCCATTTTTTTTTGGCCAATATTTCCTTTGCAGTCAGTTGTCTGGCTCTTTATTGTTGTTTGCCTTTCAGGATAACGCTTCCCTGGAGCAACCCTGTGCTCTCTCAGATTTCTGTTTTCAAGGCTCAGCTAGTCAGCTTTTATTTCTCCAGGAGAACATGAACCCAATCCCTGCTCACCTCATCCCTTTCTTGCACCTGGGTCCATTTAATCTTTCTTAGATTATGGACCTGGGTCCATTCATCTTTCTTAGACCTCAGGTTCCTTGAGCACTTGTCAGCTGAAATGGCTGAAGGGTTAGAACTGGGTGCTCATAAGGTCCCTTCCAACCCAAACCAGTCTGGCATTCTGTGGAATGAGGTTTCAAATTGTGGAAGAGTTCTGGTTCTCACAATCAGGGATTGTCCTGGTACTCCATACCTGGGAGCCCGGGATAGGGAGTTTTTGGAATGGCACTCTGGGGACTTCCAGCAGGTGAGATTTGCCTTTTGCTTTGCAGATGTCCCCAGGAATCATTGCAAACCCTTTTGCTGCTGGCATTGGGCGCAAGAACAGCCTAGAGAGCATCTCCTCCATTGACCGGGATTTGAGCCCTGAGGAACTGGAGATCCTGCAGAAGGTGGGTGTTCTGGCTGAACTGGGAGCATGTTAGAGAGTGGAAACAGCTTCTGGAAATCTCTAGTCAGTCTTCCCTTGGTGCATGGAATCTGCAGCGTAACAGGCACTGGACATGGCATGGGATCCCAGCACTTGGATCAGGAATGCGCTAGGATGAGGCTGCGGCGCCTTCACGAGGTTCCAGGTGCTCCAGGTGTGGAGAGAGCACTGGTTGAGGCGGCTCTAACTCTGCTCTCTCCTAGGAGATGGAAATGGTGAGAGAAGCAACTCAGTGGGAGAGAGAAGAAATGGAGAAAGTGGTGAGAGTTTTTTTGTGTAGCAAAATCTGTTTGTGGCAGTGACTTTGCTGAGCCCGTGAGCCCCGAGGAAGGTGCCACAGGTTATCTCTGTGCCGTTGTCAGTGCCACGGCAGCTCTGGATCTCTGTTTCCTTGTCAGTGCCATGGGCAGCTCTGGGCATTCCCTCTCTGTAGAGAAGCACTCCATTACCCCAGCTGCTCTTTGGCTTTGCTGTATCTCCCTATGCACCTCTCTGGTGATGCGCCTCTGGTGTTCAGAGTCCATTCTTGTTACCTGCTGGTACCTCCTGGCCAAGCTGCAGCTTTGAGAAAAATGGCCAGTGAGCTTGGAAGTCGCAGATTTAATCAGTTCTCACCGTCCAGTACCCCATGACCTGACAGAGCTTTTGTGAGCAAAGATGAGAACACACAGCTCAGAGCTGCCCTGAGTGGAGAAGTGACACTGGTAATTAGTCACAGCTTTGTTCTCCTCAGTTCACATGGTCGTTTCTCTGCTTTGCTGTGAGCATTTGGTGTTTCTGCCCATTGGTTCAACCTTGCACAGAAACAGAGATAGAATTTTCTGGAAACAGAAGTAAGATTTCCCAGAAATAGATCAACAGACTCGAGCCCCTCAAGGACTTGGGGTTTCCACTCATCTCTCCTAAAACAGTAATTTATCCAGTCAGCATTTGGAAGAGAAAAAACTGAATTCTTTGGTCTTGTCAGTTGGGAATCTGCTCCTCTGGCAGTTGAGTGTGCACATTTTGCAGGTGTTTCATCAGGTTTCCAGTTCAGTCACACCTGACGTTCTCTCAGCAGTTGCAGTCTCTCAGCCTTTTCACATTTGCTGCCCCACAAGAGTGGGGTGAGGTTGGCAGTTCTGATGGAAGTGGAACGACCTTACAGAATAATCTTCAACCTGATCCTGTGGGAGGCTTCCTGCTCATTGCTAGATGACCCTGAAAAGTCCCTTCCCACCCAAACCATCCTGTGATTCTGTGAATAATTTAGGCAGGAGGGACTTCACCAGTGCCCTTGGTTCAGCCCAGAGTGGAGCCAATTCAGATCAATTTAGTTTTTCCTATAAAATGCCCAGTTCTTTGCCTGAGCAGGAACTTAGAGTGGTTCAGCAAACCTGATTTCATCGTGTTTCTGTTGGAGCAAAAGCTTTTCCTGCCAGTTTTATGTTGGCAGCATATGCATTTGAATCTGTATTTGAATATGCATATATGGATTTGAATATGGATATATGGATTTGAATATGGATATATGGAGTTGAATACGCTCCAGGAGACTTCAGGTACTGTGGGGTCGGTATCAGTACTTTTAACACCTGTGAATAAACCAAGTCTGGCCCCAAACTGCTGCTCAGGCTGAGCAGGTGGCATTTGTCCAGGCTCAGGTAAAGAAAGGTTTTGCCAAAGTTTATACTGAGATTACTTAAAAGTACTTGGCAAAAAAAAAAAAAAAAAAAAAGTAGGAAAACCTTTTGGATCAGTGAAGTAGCCTTGGCTATGTCTCATTTTAAAAATGCTGGTATTTTTTGGTACCCCTTCCCTTGGAGTGTCAGGAGGAGGCAGCAGTGGATGCTCCAGGCTCCTCAGAGGAATAAATTTCTCTCAAGGGTGGAGCCAGCACTGTGTGGTGGCCATTGGAACGCTGAAGGAAGTTCCCATCTTGGTGCCACGTCCTCAGTAATTTCTGTCACCGTTTTTGGATCTTTTTTCTTGTTCTTCAGTGATTTGGGTTGATTCCTGCACAAGAACAATAGAGACCAAACGTGTCTCCAGCCTACAGCCAGTTGTGAACTGAAGAACTGGGAAGAATTTTGATTTTGCTCTACTCGCTGTAGAGGTTTTCAAACCCACTTGCTGCAGACATCTATTGCCTTCAGTTCTCTGATAGTTCAGCTTCTGGTAGAAATATCAGTAACTCCAAATGTCCGTGGACTGATTCCTGGTGTATTTGTCTGTCCCAGCTCCGTGGCTCTAGTTATTTTTCTAATCTTAATCCAGATCCTTCCCCAATGTTGTCAGAGATGGACTTTGAGCATTTCACAGCTCCACCTGGGCTGGCTGGTGCTCCTGTCGCTTCTCAGAGAAGTACTCCTGTACTCAGAGAAGGGTCATACACTAGATTAGTGTCACCTGGAACCCTCACCCTACAGAGAGCTTGTCCAGAACCAAGCATAACTGGATCCAGAATAGACCTTTAACTATCCCTCAGTATCCCTTTGGGAGTTGTGATCCTCCAGACCATTCGTGTCTTCTCCTGTGGAGGCCGGGGGCAGTGTGGGACACTGAGCATCTGTAATGCATGGAAGCTGTTGAAGAGAAGGGCCCAGGTGCTCAGCAGAGTTTTCAGTTGGCTCCCTGTCAGCTGCTTTCCACCTCTCAGCCTCCCAGCCTTGGGACTTCTGGACCATCTTGGGAGGAGCAGCCGGGAGGGTTCTGTAGGCAGGAGAAGGGAAGGATGCTGCTGCTGTGTCCCCAGCTCTGGGCAACAAAGCACAGAGGTATCAGCGCCCAGAAATCAGTCTTTAGGACAAGTCCCACACTGATCCCTTCCTGTTACAGCCTGGAAGCGAGCCCATGGCTGGGACTTTCGGGATTAGTCACTGGTCACTCTGTAGTGTCCCTGTGGTGCTGAGTGACCGTGGGCTGATGGTCTGTGCTGGGCCCGGCCTTGTGCTAAGACTGATCTGTCCCTCCCTGATGTGTTTATGTGATGCTATAAGCAGCATGTGAGTTTTAGGCCTTTTTTTCCTCGGTGACAGCCAGGCCTGTGCTCTGTAGATTTGTTTTTCCGTTCCTTTCCAACCTCTCTTGCTCTGTCAAGGTGTCTCTTCCGGCAATGAGCAGCCTCCTCCTCTCCCTTAGTGCTTTGTGTGGCTTGTGCTTTCCTTTGCTTTCCCCAGGACTGTCCCTGCTGAGGATCTTGGGGATCTCTGCTCTCCCCCTGCACTGTGGCAAGCCTGATCGTGTTGTCCGGGGTGTCCCTGTCCATTCTGCTGGTGATAATTATGCGGGTGCAGAATTCCAGCTCCTCTTTCCCTGGACCCAGGATTCATGCTGAATTTCTGCTCCCCCTCTGCTGGTGCTGGCACTGCTCCTCTATCCCCTTGGGAGTTCCTACCTGGCATGTCTGACCTCTTTCCCTCTCTCTTGTCTCTCTGCTCTGGCTTTGTCCTGTCCCACGGAAGGAGCAGATGCGTAGGGAGCGGGAGGCAGCCACGCAGCAGCTTGAGGAGGAGGTGGAGGTGAGCAGCACGGAGGGAGGGCTGGAGAGTCCCAGAAAAGGGCTACATCTGGACTGGAAGGCTGGAGAAGTCCCAAAAAAGAGTTTGTTCCCTGTAGCCTGTGTTCTCCATTCCCTCCCCTAAAAGGATGTCACTTTGGGGATAACAGAAGAGATTGGAACTGAAGAAATGTATAAGGGATTGAGAAAGGGACGGTGGAAAACAGTGGCTGGTTTGAAACCTGGACTTCTGTTTGGGGTTAGAAAGGCAACACATGACAAGATAAATTGAACAAACTTGTAGAGTGAGTGTGAGTTAAGGCTGAGAAAAGAAACTAGAGGAATTGCAGAATTGTATTCTTGAACATGTCCAGGTCCAGACTGGAACTGTTCTGGATGCTCTTGGAGCAAACGGGTAGGTACAGCACATTCTCCTCCCTCCCTGTGAGGGCATGGATGTGGGAGCAAGAGGAGTGAGAGGATCTGAGCAGCAGTGGGTGGCCAGGAGCCCACAGTGATATGTTCTCTGCAGGGTTTCTCAAGCCCAGCCCCCGCCATGCATCCCCATGGTTGTGTTTGGAACAATTCCAGCTCCTTTTCCAGGCAGAGTTTTGGAGATAAGGCCTTGGTTATTACTGGGGTGGTTCCCTTGTCATTGCTCTTCCTCCTTTGACTTAGTTACTGACTTTGGGCCTGACCCGTTGCTGGTGTTTGTGGTTTTTTGCCCCTCTCCAGAGCATCCCCAGTGAACCCCTGCGCCTGGACTACCGGACCCTGGCAGCACTGCCCAGCAGCGGCCTGCAGAGAGGCAACCGTGCTGTGAGTGGGGGCTGGGGGGGGTCCCTGCAGGGGGGGAGGCTGTGAGGGGACCGAGGAGGTGGGGATCCTGTGGGGGAGTGGCCACGAGGGAGTTAAGGAGGTGGGGGTCCCTCTGGGGGAGGCAGCGAGGAGCTGTGGAGATGGGGATCCCTGCAGGGGAGGCCGTGGTCCTTTCCTTACGTGCCCTTCGCCTGTGCCATGCTGTGGGAGGTGACAGCATCCTTTGCAGAGGAAAACAGGGAAGCAGAACTGGGGGGTACTCTGGCACTGAAACAGGAGGTAGCTGCAAAAAAAAAAAAGATGGGAATAAGAAAATGAGGAGAGCAAGGGCCAGGTAGTTTTTCTTTTTGGGAAGAGAAGTTGCAAAGTTGCAAAAAAAAACAAAGTCTGGAACAAGGCAGAAAGAACACCCCAGAAGAAAGAGAAGGGGAGGTGAGTGGAAGAGTGCAGGGGTTTGTTGTGGAAGGAAGCAGCTCCAGAAAGCTGCCAAGGAGGGAGGCAAAGAATCTTCCCAACACACTGATGACAGCGTTGGGTGCACAGCTCAGTTGTAAATCCATTTTGGAGTGGTGTTCAGAAAGGAGAAAGGCTGAAGATGCTGAGACTGAAAAGTATTTAAAAAAGTTCAAGGCCGGGTTGGACAGGTCTCGGAGCAACCCGGTCTAAAGGGAGGTGGCCATGGCCATGGCAGGGGGTGGGACTGGATGGTCTTCAGGGTCCCTTCCAACCCAAACCATCCTGAGATTCTATGAAAACCAAGATTCCCCTGGCCTGCAGAAGGCAAAGTGGCTGTGGTTGTGTGTCGTGGCTGAGCCCTGTGGCTCATGTATCGTGCTGTGTGTCGTGACTCCAGCTGTGGATGCTCCTGCCCTGTGCTCTGCCTGCCAGTCCCTCATACGTGGTGGTGAGAAATTCCAGTTTTCACAAACTTTATGGATTACGAACTGATCTCCCTTCTGTATTGTTTAAATTCTCCCCTTTCCATCTTTGCTTCCTTTTATCTTCCCTGCATCACCCCTATTCCACTGGGCTTCTGTCTGCTCCTTCGCACATCCTCGGTGTCCACCTTCCTTTCCTTCTGGTGTGGCAAGACCTCCCTTTGCTCTCATCATCCCACTCCATCGTTTTGGGATCATCTTTTACCTTTCTAGTCTCCATTCCATTCCATGCAAACAGGTCTCTTCTGTTCTCTTTCCTCCCGTTTCCAGGCCCTCTTGCTTTCTGCCTCACTCAATGACAGCCTTGCATTGTCTCCAGCTCTGGCTCCTTTTGTTCCCGTACTTCTCAGCTTTTAGGTTTCCCTCCCGCTGCTCACACAAAAAGCATTATCAGGAAAAGGTTTATTTTTAGCACCTCTGAGTGTAACTCGGTAGCTGGAAGAGGGGGAGAGCCAGCCCCAGGCAGCAGCTGCCTCCGTGTCGGACAACCCAAGCGTGGTCCCGAGCGGAGCAGCCTCTGGGAGCTTGTGCCTCGCAGCCTGTGTCAACCCGGGAACGCCTGGCATGGGAATGTGGGGCTGAGTGTGCCGGAATGCCGGGGTGATGGGCGGCATCTATAAATGTCCTATTTCAGGGAAGGGCCCAAGGGTGCCGATGGGTGGTTTTTGTCCAGCTGTCGCTGGCCCCGTCTTTGCTCTGGTTGGAAAAGTACGTCTGCCTGGACCGTGGGGACAAGTGAGATTCTGGTGTGGGGATAGGGAGGTTCTGGTGGTCTTTCTGGAGCTGCTCTGGCCTGTTTGGTGACCGCTGGAAGACTCAGCCAGGGTGGGCTTTCCAGCAGAAGGACAGGCAGGTCAGCGACAGGTCGTCCATCTCTGGACAGTCTGACTGCATCCAGATGATCTGTTCTCTTGTCCCGTTCCCACTGGGGTTTTCTCTTTCTCCCTGTCTCCAGCCCAGCTCTCTCACCACATACGTTCTCCTCTAGAAACAGTGTCTGGGTATCTTTTACTGACAGAGTTCTGTGCAAAGAAGCTGTTCCTGTCGTTGCTCTGGGATAGGAGGAGCTGTAGGGAGCTGTTCCTATCCTCATCATGGTACGTGAGGAGCTACATGAAACCATTCCTGTCCTCACTGTGGGGCAGGAGGAGATGCAGGGAACCATTCCTGTCCTGGCTGTGGAGCAAGAAGAGCTGCAGGGAATTGTTCGTGTTCTGATAACGGAGCAAGAGGAGGTGCACATCAATCCTGACCGCTGTAACTGAGGGTGGAATTTGTCATGAGGGTTCTGAGAATGGCCCCCAGAGGAGGGAGCAGGTGACTGTCTGCCTCGGATCAATCTGTGTTGCTGCATCTGGGTCCCTTTGTGAGCAGGATTTAACAAAGGCTGATGATTTGCCTGTTCTGTTTGTCCGCTCTTAGAAGCCCAACTGAAAATTCCCTTCGGAAGCAGCGTGGGAATGCTCGTTTGGGCGATGCTCTTTGGCCATGCAGCCGGTGTACTGCAATGTCTGGGTGGAAGCTGTGGCTGCCCCATCTCTGGAAGTGTCCAAGGCCAGATTGGACAGGGCTTGGAGCAACCTGGTCTAGTGGAAGGTGTCCCTGCCCCTGGCAGGGGAGTGGAATGAGATGAGCCCTGGGATTCTGTGACTCTATGACTGTGCCCTTGCAGGAGTCAAAGAGCTGTTACAGTCTCTGTCATCGAACAGGTGGGAAAGCCAGACCCACGAGGCACTGATCACAGCAGAATGATTAAAGTCTAGCTTTGCTTTCTGGACTATGGGAAGCGGAGAAGAACTGACATGTCTCGGTGCCAGGCCACCATGATTAGTTAATTAACAACCCGTACTTTCTTCTCTGAGTTTGTTTCTCTTTGGTTTCTTGCCACTGATTCTTTCTCTGTACTTGGTTCTGCAGATTTCAGATTAGATTTCTTTCAGTGCCCTGGAGATTGCAGGGTAACACATGCTTGTCCTGTCTGCAGGCTGGGAAAGCTCACTGCATTGCCCAAATCTTTGCTAACCCAAAATAGAAATTGTGGCTTGTCTGACAGAAATAGTTCCTGTGGGGCCAGGGAGTGAGAAATCCCCACCGGGACATGCCACGACAGTGGAAACTGGAGCTTACAGCTAGGGGCAGATCCTGCCCAGTTCCAGTCAGTTCCAAGAACAAAATAGGGATTAAGGCTCCCCACGGACTATCAGGCCTGATGGCCCTCTGGGCAAAGGCGGTTGGAATTAGGGTTTTCACACTGGAAAGTCATGTAGCCACAATGGCAGGATTTCTCAAGGTAGCACAGACTTTGCTGCTCAGGAAACGTGATATGAGCCAGGGCTCTGCCAACCACAGAGGTTGGGTTTGGGGGGGTTAGGGGAGGGCCTCCGAAATTCCTGAGCCTCCCAGCTGCCATTGTAGTCACCAGCCCACCCTTGAGAGCTATTTTGGTGACCACTGCCATGACACAGGAGCTGGAGAATGTGTTCTGAACAGGAGAGGTCTTTCTGCTCCCCAGAGGCACTTGGATGGAAGGTTTGTTCTTTGCTCTCTGCCTTTCTCTGCTCTCTTGACGAAGGCTGTGGCTGGGGTAACAAATTTTCTTCTACAGCATTAAGAGGAAGGGTCGGGGCTTCGCCTGGACTGGGTGCAAGCCCTGGCAAAGCTGGGGCTGCCTCAGTCCTGCCCTCAGCAAGAGCCACCCAAGGGGTCTGTGCTCCATCAGCTCTACTGAGCTCTGGTACTTTGGGTGAATTGTGATGCCCTGGGGCCATAAAACCACGTTCACCTGTACAGGTGTGATGGAAATGCACGGGGTGGGTGTTGTGTGACTACGTGGCAGTGTGACAGCAGAGGCCAGGCCATGGCAGGGGGAGTGTGAATGGTGTGGGAGTTGGACTGGTTGATCTCCAGAGATCCCTTCCAACCCGAGCTGTTCTGTGATTCTGTGTGCTGTGGTGGGCAGGGGGAGGATGTGTGCTCATGCAGGTGTTGGCAGTGAGTTTGGCTGGAGAGCAGCTGGAGAAATGTGTGTGAGTTGGAGCAGCGCAGGGAGCGCTCGTGCCTTTCAGCTCCTCAGGGTACGTGTGCACAGCAGGGTCCTCTCCTGAAAGTGGCATTGGGGGTCACAGATTGGTGGCAGAGCAGGAGAGAGGGATGGCACGGTGTGTGTGTGGGCATCAGTGCCGGAATTCTTCTCTCCCCTGTCCTTCAGCAGCTGCTCTATATTTTCTTCCTCCTCTCCTTTATTCTCTTCTCCTTATATCTGTCTGATCCTTCTGTTTTCCTCTCAGCCTGTTCAGTGTACTAAGCCCAGCTCCGGCATGGAGGGTGACTGCACGGTGCTGTCCCTGCCCTCAGCATGGGACAGCCGGGAAGCGTCCCCGGACCCGGCAGCGGGTGCAACCAGTGGCAGTGTGGCTGGGCCCCCTCAGCACTCCACGTCACCCCATCAGCAGAGGAGCGGGGCGGAACAACCCCGGGGAGACAAGCAGGACTCCTCAGGGCGTCCCTTGTCCCAGGAGCAGCTTCCAGAAACGCCAGAGCCGGAGTGCCTGATCGACTCACAGCCCATCCCCTTCAGTGAGAACCCCTTTGTGGTGGCCAACCGCAGGGGCAAGGCTGCGGGCACAGCCGGCCTGGGAGGGCCTCCCCTGGGCTATGGCAGCGGGGGCGTGCTGAAGACCAGCCTGTACTCCAAGGCAAGCGGCGTGTGCCACGTGGGGTTTGGTTGGCATGCACTCACACAGTCTGGGCTTACCCCCACTACTAAACCCCAGCGCCGGGCAGCACGGTGCCCGCGGGCCGGGCCCCCCTAACCCGTGTGCCCCCAGCACTGCGTGTGGGGGCTGCTGGTCCCCGAGGGTCGGTGTGTTGTCCTCCAGCCACTAACGCACCCCGGTCATGGCCGTGTGTGCGCTGCCGAGCCCCGCTGAGGGGACACAGGGACATCTGCGACTTCCCTGCTGTCCTTCTGAGGCCAGCTAGGACAGCGGTGTCCCTGCCCGCTCAGCTGGCAGCACGGGACTGGCAGGGCTTGTGGGAGGTCGGTGCTGGTGCCACCTGGGGCCTGAACAGCCCTTCTTAGAGGTCTGAAAAGCAAGCGGAGAGCAGCTGCCGCGGTCGATCTGCAGCCCAGGAGCTGCTCCTCCAAATGACACTTTTTGGTAGAATGAGGCTGGGATTTCAAGGGAGAACTTTGCTTTCTGCTTTGGGAAATCTGTTTGTGTTTGACATGCTTGCTGTTGCACAGGGAACTTTTGGCAGAGCAGGGACTAGACCCAAAGATGGGTCTAGTCCATCCTCCAGATGAGCTCCACGTTGCTTTTCCCTTCTTGCTTTCTCAGCCTTTTGGGAGGTCTCAAAAGCTGAACAACCACAGATAAACAGCCCCCACAGAGGAAGAACCAATCAATCAACCAACCCAGCCCCCAGCTGTATTGATCTTGGAGGTGTTTTAGGGAATTAAACCAGTGTGTAGGCAGGTCAGCTTAGAGCAAGGCACGTAGTGGAATCTGTGCTCCAGTATGAACTTCAGGTCACTTCAGGCTTGGTCAGATTAAACACTGTTGCCCAAGGCTAACTTGAACCAACTGACCAGTGGCTGTGGTATTTGTGACTGGGAACCTAAACAGTTCTCTAAATTCCAAATGACCTCCTTTCATCTTTAGGCATCTAAAATACTTCTGAAATGTGCTCCTCACTCCTGCAGTCACAGTGCAGGTGGTTCCTGGGACTCTGCTCCCTGTTCAGCTGTTGGGATGGGCTGTCGGCTGGTTCAGCCAAGCGTTGGTGCCAGAGGTTCCTCTGGAATTGAGGAGAGCTCTGCCTCTCCAATGCCACTGGTTCTGCCACCAGGCCAATAGTAATGGATGTGGTCGGGGGTGATTCCTGTCTCCTTCCAGTTGGAAATGGCAATTTTTGCTCAGTGCCTGTACAGCAGGAGGTTTGCCTGGACTGTGGCCCTGCCTATGAGGGCTGTGAGGAGTCAGGGGAGAGGATTCTCAGAGGCTGTACCTGATCTAGCTGACCTTGCCCGGTGTTTGAATGTGATCCCAGTTCCAATTCCCTCGCTGTTTCTAGTGCTTTTTGGAATTTCTGGCACATTCCAGCTGCTGCTGGGTCCTGCTAACCCTGCTCCCTGGTGAGAAGCCATGGCTGGATGTCCAGGGTGTCCCAAACCTCCTGGGCTCTACAGACTTTCTCCTGCCATACAGTAACTCTCGAGCTTTGTCTTCTCTCTTTCAGGCTCCTGTGGGCGAGTCTGGGACAGGAAATTCCAGGCGTGAAACCCCCTATTCTCCCAGTAATCTGCAGGTGAGACTGGCCCCTGGATAGGTGATATGGGAAAGGCAGGGAGGCACTTCCAGGGATGAAATGCAGAGGAAGCTGAGGGCAGTTTTCGTCCTTCAGTGACACTGTCGAGGTGGAGGGGATCTGTCACAGGATGCAACTAGAGAGCAAGGGAAGAACTCCCTCCTTCAAAATGCCTCAGGGAGCCAGGAGGGTGATTAGCTGGTCATAAATGAGCTCTGAGAGGTGGCTTAATTCCAGGGCGATGATGGACCTGGAGTGGTACAACCCGTAGTTGTCAGTATTTTGGGAATGGCCTCACCAATGCCTTATACAGGGACCCTGGCAACTGGTATGTGGTAAGAGATGGAGGAGTCAGTGTTTGGAGAATGATCTCAGGTCTGTAAACCAGTGCTGCCCAGTGCTTCCCAGAGGATCCCTGGATCTGTGTGGGACACTGGAGGTGACCCACGTGAGCTGTTGGGAAGGAAGTGGAAGGACCCTGCCCTCAGGAAGTGATTTGCTACACCTCCTTGCTCAGAGGTTTTCCTTCTGCAGTGGAAAGTGTCTTTATTTCTTGTAACTTCTGATTATTTTTTCTTTATGAATATTACCTGTCCTCCCTCACTGTTCTTACTCATTATATCAACTCTGATCTTTCCTTCTCAGTCTCTGAGTCTCTTTGCTCCCACTGTCCATCCTGTGGCAGGAGGTGTCATAGCTCAGTTGAACCTTTTGAAGTTAAATGATCTTAAATGGAATTTTTAATTTTCCCTTCACAGCCATTACCTGTAACTGGGTTTTATACTGGGGGCTGGAGTGAACTGCAGGTTGTACTTTGTCCTCTGTCCGTAGTCATTTTGGGTCTGTTGTGTTCCTTTTGGAGCTGGACAGCTGCTCTCCAGCTGTTTGACAGCAGCTGTCCAGCTGCTCTCCCCACTGGCTCTAACACTTCCCTGATCTTCAGTGGAGCCATTTCAGTTCTCAGAGCTGGAGAGGACTCTTGAGGTGAAGGGCTTTACCTTGGGGTGAGGTGATGAGTGACACGGGCTTGGGAGAAGGATCGAGACCATGAGCTGGAACTGTAGGAGCAGCACTTCAGTCCATCTCCTGCTGCTCCTTCAGTTCTTGGATCCTTTGGAATTGAGTGTCTATCAGGAAGAAAGCAAGATTAGAAGAGGATGAGATCTGTTAGAGCAACACTATTTCAAGGCACTTTGTTCCAACTGCATGTGTTTCCCTATTTGTGTTTCTGACAGCAGCTGCAAACTTGGTGAGGGTTTGTTTTGGGCTGTTTGTAGTTTTTCCTCTTACCACAACTGCCAGTTTTCTTTGAGATTGGTTTCCATGGATTCCCAGGATGGTTTGGGTGGGGAGTGACCTTCAAGACTATCTCTTTCCACACCCCTGCCATGGGCAGGGACACCTTCCACTATCCCAGGTTGCTCCAAGCCCCGTCCAACCTGGCCTTGGACACTTCCAGGGATGGGGCAGCCACAGCTTCTCTGGGCAACCCATGCCAGGGCCTCCCCACCCTCACAGGGAAAAATTTCTTCCCGATATCCCATCTAACCTTGTCCTCTGTCAGTGGGAAGCCATTCCCCCTTGTCCTGTCACTCCAGGCCCTTGTCCCAAGTCCCTCTCCAGCTCTCCTGGAGTTCCTTTAGGCACTGCAAGGGGCCTTCTTCAGGCTGAACACCCCCAGCTCTCTGCTTTTCTGAGGATTCAGGAGTCTTGTTCCTCCAGAGCAGAAGTTCCAAGGAATTGCATCTCTAATTCTTTGGCTCCATCTATTTTTAATGTTAATTCTTTGGTTTCAACATCTTGTAGTCCAGCCAGAATTTATTGGCTTATTTCAGAGAAGTCCTGAGGGAAATGGAATCCTTTGTCCTGAGTTGACGTCGTGCCTCTGTGAGGGGGTTGGGGGAGGCAGGAGATGTTTGTGGTGGGTCTGTGTGTGTGCTGAGCAGGGCAGAGGGGCTTCCCCCGCGGTGGGGACTCCAGGAGCTCCAGGTGCTGCAGTCTCAGTGCTTCTCTCCCGCGGAAAACCCAGTCTCTCCGTTTTCTCTCCCATTCTCTCCCCTGCTGATGCCCCTCTCTCCAGGTGCCTGCAGCCCCCCGGCCTCCTCACCTGGCCGGCAGGGAGACCCGCTTTGTAAGTGCTGCTGGTGTGCGGTGTGCGCTGCTGCTCCGGCTGCTCCCGCTGCCCACGCCCCGTGCTCCGGCTCCGTGTCCCCGTGGGGGCTTGGGGCTCCCCTGGGGCTCGCTGAGGAAGCAGCGCCCTGGTGGCACCTGAGGCACAAGGGGCTGCTCCCCCGTGAGCTGCTGCTGTGATGGCACCTGCAAGCGCTTCTGGGGAGGAGCTGCGGTGGGATGGCTTTGCTCCGGCTTGGGGGCGAGTGCAGAGGGTGGGGATATGCCCAGGGAATGTGTCCGTGGTCCAGGAGCAGAGGATTTGCCCAGGGACCAGGACCTGGGGATGTAAGCAGGGAACAGGACCAGGGGCTGTGAGCAGGGGCCAGGACCAGGAGATGTGCCCACGGGCCAGGACCAGGATCAGCCAAGAGTGGGAGTCAGAACCTGGAGATGTGCAGAGAGCTGAGGGTTATCCTCGCATAGCAGAGGAGCTGGGAGAAGCTCTGGCAGATGGGCTCTAGCCTGCCCCCACTCAAAGAAGCAGGTGTGAGGGGTTTCTGTGGGATCTGGGGGTTCTCCACACACGGTAGGCAGCGGGGCAGAGGTAAACTAAAGGTTTTCAGGGCGGACTCCAGATTCACACCTGTGTTTCTGTTTGCAGGCTTCCATTAACTTCATTACGTCGCAGGATGACAATAAATCAGTGAGTACAACTCTCCTGAGGCCTGACTGTGGTGTCCCTGTGCATCCCCTAGCACGTGGAGCTTGTCTCTTCCTCCTGTGGGTGCTCACTCCCACTCAGCCTTGCAGCTCAACTGCTGGCTCCTATTCTATCTCCTTCAGTCCTCCACTGTGCTTCAAGTTTGTACAAATGCTCCAAGTCTTAAATGTGATCAATTTGAAAACCCAGCACAACTGTTTTTGCAGCTTATATTCCTGTTTCCCCTCGCAGCTTCCACTCCTGGGGTTTTTGCTGGCTTACCCAACTCCTGCTGCCACTCTCTTTAGTGTCCGATGCTCTGTTCGCTTCCACACAATATCCAGCAGTGACGATGATGCCTAGGTCAATCTTAGACTCTTGCCTCTGCTCCTATAACTGCATTTCTAGTCAGAGCCCTGACTGGGTCTGGTTCACTTCCATCTACAGCTTCTGCCAGTTTCCAGTTCCTGGCTGATGTTTCCCTACCTCCATCCCCAGTGCTCACGTTCTCTTGAGTTTCATCACACTCACACTGACCCTTGTAGCTGCTTCTTGTGTGGCAGATGCTCCCTTGTGTCCTGGCCTTCTCCATAACCCTGCGTGGCCCTGACTTGGCTGAATCTCTTGTGGTGGTGGCCCCAGGAGCTCTCCCTGCAGGTCTGGGTCTGGTAGCTGGAGCGGGCAGCACAGCTGAGGAATGAAGCTGGGGTGCATGGATTTGCATAGATTTGTTTATTCACCTGCATGGCAGGCACCTTGCTGCCCTAACTGCTCGTTTCTCTTCTCTCTTTCTCCCTCCCCCTCCTCTTCCTCTGCTTTTCTCTGGGGCGCTGACATGAGCAGACCAAGCCTGGCGTCATTCAGCCTCTGTCCCGCGTGCGACAAAGCGCTGCCTCGCACACTGCGGAGGAGGGGGACAGCCCCAACCCCTTCCAGCAGCCCGAGCCATGCTTCAGGATCCACAACTCTGTAAGTGGCCTGGGGTTCCTCCCTGAAAGCCATCTCCCTGCCTTAGGTGCCACCTGGCTGGACACCCTCCCAGCAGCAACGGTGTGGTTTGACATCCACGTGCCTGAGCTGAGGCCGCTGGTGTCCACGCACCAGTCTGGGTACCCCAGGGAGGAGCCCTCACTCCTCACAGGCAGGAGTCATCAAAGGCAGCGCATCCCACCTGTTTCTTTGGGCCTCCCCAGCTGCCCTGTGTCTGCCCATCCCAGGAGTCAGCAATGCTTGAAGCTGTTGTGGCCAAAATCCCCAGAGCAGGGAGAGGTTTAGAGCCATATTTGTGAGGTGTTAAGTTCTGTGGAGACATAAATCCTACAGAACCTTTTTCAGTGGCTGGCACCCCAACTCTGCTTTCCCCCAAACCTGGCAGGAGGGGCCATGGGGAAGGTGGATGAGGAAAGGACCAGCAAAGACAGTGACGAGCAATAGGAAGGTCCCCTCAGACTTTGTCAGATGTTTCTGAGTAAGTGGAATTCTGCAGAGGAAATATTTGAGATCAGAGGCAGATCTCCTCCCAGATCACAAATGCTTGAATCAGATCATAGAACCACAGGGTGGTTTGGGTTGGATGGGACCTTAAAGACCATCTGGTTCCACTCCCTGCCATGGGCAGGGACACCTTCCACTAGAAGGAATCTTGTTCAACCCTTAGTAGGGGTCAGAGTCAACCATGTAACTGTCCTGTTCCAGCCCCCAAACCCCTGATTCAGGTAGGCACATGCTGGTTGAATTGGGTGGAAGTCCTCAAGGACTGTGACAGCAATGTGGTCCTTGGCCAGGAGATCCATCACAGCATTCCTGTCAGATCAGTGAGGATCTGTGCCACTGCAATTACCATTCCTCCACCATCCAGGAAATAAAACAGGGCTGTGACCCACGTGCTGCTGTGTGTAGTGTACGTGCAGTGCTTTGCTCCTCGTGTTCCTGCCCAAGGCTCAGGAAACAGCCTTGGCAAGGTTTACATATTCCATTACACATTCTTTTTTCATATCCCCACTCTTCGGGCTCCGCAGGCCGAGAGAGCTGGGCTGTGTCTCCCCCGTGTGGGTTTTTTCACACCACCTGTGCTCACCTTTGCCTCCTGTCTGTCCCTGTAGCAAAAGCCACCGTCGCCACCCTCCCCTGACGAGGTCCCCATCAATGTCAAGCAGGCCTACAAGACCTTCGCAGCAGTGCCCCTGTCCCACCCGCTGCTCGGGACGCAGGTAACTTGTGTTGCTGGGGGGTTGCTCCAGCACAGGGGTGAGCAGAGCAGGTGTGAGAAGGGAAGAAGGTGGTGGTGATCTGTTCCCTCCAAAGAAAGCCGCTGTAGAGAAGGGGGACGTTGAGGTCCTGTGGAATTTGGCATCTGTTCCCAACCCTGCAGAGTCCTGTCTGTGAGTTTATCAGGTCCCGGAATCTCAAAGCATCGTTATTCTCCTTGGACGTTGGGATGCTGATGTACCACCAAGCTGTTCTCATACAAAGGAACTCTGAAATTCCAGAGTCCAGGGCCAGGCTAAACTTGTGCTGAGCTATTTTTGAGGGGATTTTGATTTTTGAGCTTCAGTGGAACTATTTTTTTCTCCCCTCCCATGTAGCTGAATCATGGAACAGCTCAGGTTAGATGAGGCCTTGGAGGTCATTGCCTTAGTCTCCCATGCAAAACAGGACAGCCTTGAAAGTTAGAATCATTGAACCTGCTGCTTACCCTCCCACACCGTCCTCCCTGCCCATCCTTCCCAAGGAGCCTGTGTCCATGCATGGCAGCTCCATCTGGGTGAGAGCTCTGGAACTGTCTGATGTAGACAGGCATTTGATAAAGGAGCAGAACCCTCTGGCAGAACCCCTTTGGTGCTTTGGGGCCCTCTGCTCTTGGAATCACCTCACTGCTTCCCTTTTCCCTGTCCCTGTCTTGTTCTTGCTGGCACATTCTTGCTGCAAATGAGATCCTGTTTCACAGGTGGCTTTCTACTGGGGTGTTGCTTCTTCCTTTCCCTTTCCCTTTCCCTTTCCCTTTCCCTTTCCCTTTCCCTCCCCTCCTTTCCCCTTCTTTCATTTTCCATGCTCATGCTGGAAGCTGTGGCTATCCTGCAGTGACTTGTGACAGCCACTTTGTGTCTTCCCTCATCCCCAGCTGCCCTCACCTTGATCTGGTTTGGTACATCAGTAGGGGTCACAGTCTGTCTCTACTGTTTTCAGGCTTGACCTTTGTCCATTTTAGCTTTATTGACTAATTTCCTCAGAGTTAATGACTGTCAGACAACCTCAGGGAAGATGTAGCAAAGCCCAGGATGAACAGGAGGTGGAACTGGTCTCTGTTGGCACCTGTCATCCCCCAGGTGACCCAAGCTCATGGTCAGGTGTGCCTTGTGCACAGAAATGTTTCCAGCATCACCATCTCCAGCTAATGCATTGCGGGTTGAGGAACAATTTCTGCTCCTGTGGGAGATTTACCTGGCAGTTTGCACTTCTGAGGGAAATTCTTTTCGTCCCCTTAAATTATTTTTGTTTAATTACATTTGTCCATTGAACTTGGACAGACTGACAAGTCCACTGCTCACATTATCTCTGCCTGCTTCTGGATTTTTAGGAATATATCAGCTACTGTTTTAGGCATGAACCTCCACTCAGTTAAAAAGTCCATTAAAAACCTGTGCTTGTCAAATGGGCATTGTCACAAGTCATTCCACTCAGAGTTATTGTGGAGGGATTGTTCTGGTCCTGCACGTTTGTGTTGAGCTCTTGGCTTTGCTTCTGTGGTAGCAGCAATAATTCCTGTTTCCAGGCATTTGCTTCTCAGCTGGAAGCTATTTTTTGCCTTTTTTAGCTCCTTCCCTTCTCTATTATTGTACTCCATATTATACAAAATTAAAACTTCCTGTTAGTTTTTGGAGTGTGTTTGGATGAAGCCAAGGGTCATCTTGCTCTGTTATTGTGGATCCTTTCAATTTGTCTAATTAAAAAACTTACATCTTTTCCATAACTTGTTGGCAGTTCTCAGTTTACCCCTATGGATTCCTCATTCACAGATGAGTTTTGTGGACTCTCTCGTCTCCCTGGCGTTTTAGTCATCCAGTATTCTGTTCTTTATCTTTGTAAAAGTGGTAAATTTTGGGTGGTTTTATCTTTGATGTAAGGAAAATTGAAGTGAGCCCCTCCCAGCTCCTGTGAACTCCCTCCAGCTCAGCCCCTGCTCCTGTTCTCCACCTGTTTCATGTTTTTCAGTTTCTGCTCTTTCAGAAGTTGTCACACCTGGTTCTGTTTAACCCTCAGTTTAATGTAAATCCTCATTCCTGACTATCGCTGATATCATCCTGACTTGTTAATTCTGTGCGAGTTGCGGGACTGGTTTGGGAGCCTCTGTCAGCTCACGTGGCTGGAAGACGGGGGGTGGGCGGAAACTTTCCTTTTAAAATGTCGCTGTTTCTCTCTGTCCTTAGGAACTGTCTGGTCAGAGCAGCACAGAGAACCCCAAAATGGCCTCGGAGGTGAGTTTCGGGACTGGGGCTGGAAAGAGGGTGGGAGTCAGGAGGATCTGGGAGCTGTGATGAGGAGATGGGCTCGCAGCACGGGGGAGCTGGGGGAGGAGGAGAAGGGTGTGGAGCAGGTGGCAGAGTAGGGGTTGGGGTGACACGAGGAGGGTGGTGTGGCTGAGGGGCCCATGGACTGTGGTGGTGTGACTGGGGAACCTGGGGGCAGTGGTCTTGGGTGGGGGGGCCCGTGGGCAGTGGTGATGGGGTTGGAGGGGGCTCGTGGGCAGCATTGTGGCTCTCGCAGGTGGCTGGTCACAGGCCAGGGGGACAGCACAGCCCCGAGCAAAGGTCCTTCCGGGAGAGGCAGAAGTATTTTGAGATCGAAGTGAAGCAGCAGCACCTGGACAAGCCTCCTAAGCGTGTGTCCTTGGTGGGGGAGGACGACCTGAAGAAAATGAAAGAGGAGGAAGGTATGTTGGAATCTGTGCACAGGAATTTGGCCTGCTGAGTGATGCCTTTCCCATGGAAATGCAGCACTTCCAGAAGAGAAGCCCATGGGTGGTAATTAAAAGGCCTGGGAATAACTTGAAGTAAGTGAATGTTGAGGAGTTCTGTGGATGCTCCACTGATACTGTGTGGGCTGGTGGAGGTGCTCTGGTGTCGGGGTGTCCTGTATCACAAACCAGGATGGTTTGGATTGGAGGGCCTTAAAGCTCACCCAGTCCCACCCCCTGCCATGGGTAGGGACATTTTCCACCAGCCCAGGTTGCTCCAAGCCCCAGCCAGCCTGCCCTGGAACTCTTCCAGGGATGGGGCAGCCACGGCTTCTCTGGGCAACCCGTGCCAGGGCCTCTCCACCCTCACAGGGAAGGATGCCTTCCCAAAATCCCATCTCACCCTGCCCTCTGGCTGTGGGAAGCCCTTTTCCTGTCACTCCAGGCCCTTGTCCCCATTCCTTCTCCAGCTCTCCTGGAGCCCCTTTAGGCCCTGGCAGGGGTTCTCAGGTCTCCCTGGAACCTTCTCTTCTCCAGGCTGAACACCCCCAGCTCTCCCAGCCTGGCTCTGGAGCAGAGGGGCTCCAGCCCTCAGAGCATTTCCATGTCCCTCCTCTGGACTCACTTTAGCAGGTCTGCAGTTTTTAAACACTTCAGTAACATGTGATGTGGTGCTGCTGCTCCAGACAGCGAGTCCGTGCCAGCTGCCCAGATGGGCAGCAGCATGGCACTGTGGCACCCTCACTGGGTGCAGACTGGCAGCAGAGCTCTTGGAGCTCTCAGTGAGTGCTCACCATGCTGCTCTGGGTTTGTAGTAGGAGGTAAATTGCTGCTCTGTTTTTTTATATCACTTCCTCCTGCTTGAGAGTTGTTATAGGAGGTGATGAGGAACAGTGTGAAGTGGAAAAAAGGGCATTTACTGAATTCTCCAGCCACTCCTCTTCAAATTATACCTGGGCCTAGCATTGCTCTGTCCCAGGTGCGGAACCTGGCATTTGCCCGTGTTAAATTTCATGCCATTAATGGTTGCTCAATGCTCCAACCTGTCTGGATCCCTCTGCAAGACCTCGAAGCCCTTGAGAGCACCTCTCAGTTTGGCATAATCAGCAAAGTCTTACTGGTGCATTCTGCCCCTGCAGCCAGGTGGAAGTATTAATAAAAACCTCGCCCAGAACTGGCTCCGAGACTAAGCCCTGAGGAACACCCCTGGGGGACTGGTCACCTGCAGGACATCTGCCTCAGAGAGCCACCTGCTCTTTGTCTCCTTCTGTCCAGGACCCCAGGCCTTGGTTCCTTCAGGAGGCCAGTGGGAAGATGGAGATTCCCAGGACTGTTTTCTGGGGGAGGGGCAAAAGAGTCCGTACCCAACTTTCAGTTTGAGGATGGGAACGCTGGACATGAGAGGCTGCTGGAAATCTGCCCACAGAGTGTCCAAGAATGGAAGTTTGGTGGATAAGGAAGGAGGGACTGAGGGAATGGTGTAGGGTTTGTTCCATCCGAAGCATGAGTGGAATGCTGGAGGAACAAAGCTGTCCCCTGAGAGGGAATGGACTGAAACCAGCACGGACTTGGAGCGATGGGGAGCTAAAGGTGGCATCGCTGGGGGTTCAGCGAGTGCTCTGTGGTCTAAGCTGGCTCCTGTCTTCTTTGGCAGCCCGCAAGCTGCAGCAGCAGCGAGCCCTTCTGTTGGAGGAGGAAGCTGAGGAGGAGGAGGAGGTGAGGCAGGTGCCTGAGGCCGTGCAGTCCAGTGTCATCATCGAGGGTGTCGAGTACAAGGTCGAGAGGCTGAACGGAAGGAGCATCCAGGCTCCAGCAGCTCGGTAAGACAGGTCTACACAGGTAGCCCTGTACCACCACCTACGTTGTGTCAGAGGTGTCCCAGGAATTCTCAAGGAAGAGGGTGGGCCAGGTTTCTTCTTCAGCACAGAAAGGGGCAACTTTCCAGCTCTGCCTTTTCAGGGGACAGCTCCTTCAACCGTGCCAGAGGGTATGAAGGGATGTTGATTTTTAGAGACGGCTGATTCAAGATAAGCTGAATGCAGAACCAAGCTGGGGGTTTCTTAGGCTTTTGTTTCTCAGTTCTCTAGGTCTTGGCCTCCACGTTGTCTTGATGGTGCTTTTCTAATTCTTGGGCACAGAACTGAGGAATAAGAAAAGGGTTCTCAAAGGCTCCAGATAAAATAAGGCTGCACTTGAGGGAAGCTGAAGCCGTCCTTATCTCTCTTTGGAGTCTTTGGGACAGACATTCTCCTCTCCACAAACACTTCCAGTCACAGTGGCTGAACACATTTACCCTGGCATGTGGAGTCCCATTTCTCTCTGTTGTTTCTGCCCAGTCTCAGGTGAGGAACTTCTCACACAATTATGCCCTGAGACTTCCCCCTCCTGTGCTGAGGCAGCTCCAAGGAGGACATCAGCCTTGTGCAGCTCCTTGGCTTTTTGGGAAGTCCCACTTACTCCTGTTTTCATATTGAAACGTGGGAGGCTGAGGAACAGGAAGGCTGGATCCATCAGATGATTTTCAGTTGCTTATTATTTACACTTGAATATAGAGGAGGCAGTGGAAGAGAGTGAATTTGTGTTTCTTGAAATATTTTTTCTCATGTTAGAACAGAAACTGAAATTTAACCAAAATAAACTTGAGCAGAAAAAATCAGGGGTGAGTGTCACAATAAACTGAACACCCCCAGCTCTCCCAGCCTGGCTCCAGAGCAGAGGGGTTCCAGCTCTTGGAGCAGCTCTGTGGCCCATCTTGTGCAAGAAAAAATATATCAAATTAATCTGTAATGAAGGTACGTGCTTCCAAGTTGAATTTCTCTTGGACTCCTCTGTCTGGAATGCCTTTGTGCCACACCTTACAAAGCCAACTGTGAAGTCCAAGTTCCTGGGACTGAAGGGAGAGATCCAGAGGAAGAGAAAGCCCAACAAATATTTTTATTTAAAAAACTGAGGCAAAAATTCTGTGTGTGTCTGTTAGTGGCTGGCTGACCTCCAAGTGCAGGAAATGAACTGTGATGTTAGTGTGGACATTTAGGAGATCCCCATGGGAATGCTCACAGCGATGGTGGAGAAGCTGCTGAGCAAAACCACGGAGGGCTGTGACTTCACCTGAACCATTTGTTGCTTTCTGGGGGGGTGTACCTGTCCCACCCTCTCTAGGTGTGCACCCTGTGGTGCTGCAGCTGACAGGGTTGTTTCCTCCAGGCCCTCAGAGCTCAGTGAGAACAGCAGCTTGCAGAGGAATTCTCTGGAAGAGGGGATCAAACCTGAGCAGGGAACCAACTCCATGTCAGGGTGAGTGGGGCTGCTGGGGCAGCGACTGGATCGTTCCTGCTTTCTAGCAGCCAGAGGCTGCAAGGGAAGGATTTGGTGGAGAGAGGGAAACTGATTGGGACCAATTTCAGAGAATCCCAGGATGGGTTGGGTTGGAGAGACCTTCAAGACCGCGTGGTTCCAACCCCCCACCATGCGGGGATTGCCAAGGACAGTTGGTCCAAGCCCCATCTAACCTGAAACTCCTTAGGAGAAACTGCCCTGTGTCCTCCCAGGGTGATACCCGTGGATGTGGCACTGAAGAGGTGATTGGGGTGTCACTCACAGGCAGGTGAGCTGTGTGGACCCCGCCATCCTCCCTCTCACTGCTCCTCTCCCTGCCCAGGCTGAGCCCGTCGTTCCCGGGGGATCCCGGGGCTCCGGTGCGGACGGCCAAGGCCGAGCGGCGGCACCAGGAGCGGCTGCGGATGCAGAGCCCGGAGCTGCTGAGCGGGCAGGAGAAGGAGAAGGAGCTGTCTCCAGCGGAGCGCCGGGCTCTGGAGGCCGAGAAACGAGCCATGTGGAGGGCAGCACGGTGAGCCAGAGCCTCCACTGCTCCTGTGCCGGGCTGGAGCACGGAGAGGGAGCTGCTGCACGGGGAATAAAACTAGGGAATACAGGACCCTTCCAGAGGGAGGTTATGAAGGATCAGTTCAAGCCATGCAAAGCACCCGCTGAGCTGAGCTGAGCTTGTCTGCTTCCAGGGGGCTCCCAGATTCCCAGAGTGCTTGCACGTTCATGGACACAGGGGGGTTCATGACGAACAAGAACACACCTTTGTGTGGTGGTGGGTGTGTTCCTTCCCTCAGCACCCAGTTCCCACCTCCCGTGTAACCCATGTGCGGTCGTGTTACTGAAGCTGCAAGGTCACATATTCAAAATGAAAAATGGGATTCCACGTATCCAGCAACGCTGGGCTGGAGAACTTGCTGCAGCCAAAACATTAGTAGGATGAGGCCATCTTTTAGCCCCGCAAGCTACTCCATCAGCATGAAAGAATGACTAAAAATTCTTCTGGAAGAAGGAAAGCTTTCTAGCTCAGAACTTAAGACCTGAAGCTAGTCCAGGCATTTACTGTGCCATCAAATTCCTTCTAAAGATTAGTCAGGCTGCTCCCATACCTAATGATAGTTTCCTGTAGAAGACATTCAAAGGCCAGTCTGAAATGTCTTTTGGGTTTGGACGAGGCTTGAAGAGGAACAGGGCTGCTAGATAAGGTACTGGAGGGATCACCGTGAGTTGTGATTCCACTTAGCAGTTCCAGTGTTTGTGCTTAGACATGGATGATCACAGGGGCTGTCGCTGCTGGGGAGGCTCCAGGAATGGACAAATGCCAAGTGGATCCTCAGTCAGAGCTGGACTGCTGTTCCAGGGCTTTGAGTGTACAAGCCTCTTTGCGCAAGTTTTCTTTGGGATCAGTTTTCGTAGAATCTCGGGATGGTTTAGGTGGGAAGTGACCTTCAAGACCATCCAGTCCCATCCCCTGCCATGGGCAGGGACACCTTCCACTAGCCCAGGTTGCTCCAAGCCCCGTCCAACCTGGCCTTGGACACTTCCAGGGATGGGGCAGCCACAGCTTCTCTGGGCAACCTCTACCAGGGCCTCCCCACCCTCACAGGGAAGAATTTCTTCCCAATATCCCATCTGTCCCTGCACTCTGTCAGTGGGAAGCCCTTCCCCTTTGTCCTGTCACTCCAGGTCCTTGTCCTCTGGCTCTCTTGGAGCCTCTTGAGGGACTGTCTTGCTCTGCCATATCCTTCCTTATGAGGTTGGAGAGACCACCAAGTCCCTTGTGCTGCAGGTGCTCTGAGAGGGCTGGAATCACACGTCTGTCTCAGGGAAGGCTGTGAGTGTGGAGCAGTGCCAAAAGCAGCCGTCAGTGTGATGCTGTGCAAGCACCACAGCGTCCCCAGGAGCAGACAACCTGCACAGAACTGTGCTCGATCTTTGGACCTAAGAAAAAACTCCACCGTTGTATTTAAGCCAACAAATCAGAAACTGCCTGTCAGGCTTCTCCTGGAAATCCACATCACTGTGCTTGGAGAGGGGTAGGGCCTGATTTGCCATCTCTTCCCAGTGGGACAGGCAGGAGTTTCACTCCCTTGTGCCTCCATTTTCCAGGCACATTCCTCACACGATGGGGGCAGCTTTTGTGAGGTCTGTCAGCTCTGATTCATGCCTAAGCATGAACATATACAAGGAATGCTGTAATAGAAGCTTTTTTTTTTTTTTTTGAGATGAGTGTCAAAAGGAGAAACAGGATGTTGCCTGCACAGACCTTTGGAAGCAAAGCAGAGTCCCTACAGGGACACTGCTCATGTCCCAGGTGTGCAGCTCTGGTCGTGGGACTGCTCTTCCAGAACAGGGCCTGAACTCCAGCTTGCTTCTGATGCCGAGGTGCAGCTTTTTGTGCAGTTCTTGGAGAAGTGCCTGGCTGATGCCTTGGGCAGGAATCAGTCAGTCACTGTAATGTGCTCCTTTTTGTAAGACAAGGAGGGACTGTTCCCTGCTGCCACAGGTCTCCCAGGAGGATCTAGTAGTCTCAGGGTCCTTCTTCCCTAGCTCTGGAGCAGGCACAGCGACATGAGGGCTGGCAGGCTCAGGTCCTGTCTCCAGAGACCCCTGTGCTGTGGGGGGAGGGGGTTCTGCACAGCCCCACACACAGGCCTCAGCCCCACTAACCCGTGTTCTCTCCAACTGCCGCAGGGTTTGTTCCTCCCTTTCTAATCTCCTGTCTTCTGCTTCTTTCCAGTTCTCTGCTCTGTGCTGTCAATCATGACCCCATCACTTTGCACCTTCTTGGGCTTTCCCTGTTCTCCCTGTGTCATCAGTGCTCTGCCAGGACGTGTGATGCCCCTCCTTTTCCCCCTGGCATCCCCGTGCTCTGTTGGGACACACCAGAGACCCATGTTACACACCAGCTGTGGGCACACACAGCCCCCTGGCATTGAGTCATGGAATGGTTTGGTTTGGAAAGGACCTTAAAGCTGATCTGGTTCTACCCCTCTGCCGTGAGCAGGGTCACCTTCCACTATCCCAGGTTGCTCCAAGCCCTATCCAACATGGCCTTGAACACTTCCAGGGATGGGGCAGCCACAGCTTGCCTGGACAACCCATGCCAGGCCCTCCCCATCCTCACCGAGAAGATTTTCTTCCCGATATCCCATCTAATCTCTTTCAGTGGAGATCCATTCCCCCTTGTCCTGGCACTCCAAGCCTTTGAGCCATGGAGTGAGTGAGGTCCAGAGGCACAGGTACAAGCCAAGGGACAGGTGCCCAGCCATGGCTATGAGCATCTGGGGAGTTTTCCTGCCACACACACACACACTGGTTTGGGAACTCAACTCACCCCTCAGTGACACGTGTCCCAGGGCAAACACCAGGTGTCACATGCTTAGCCGTTTTGTTCCTCTTTTCTATCATCCAGCAAAGGTGCCTGGAAGAGGTGATCAGGTGCAGGTGTACACTGAGAGACCGTGCCGTGTGTGGCACACACCCACCCCTGCCCATACGCCTCAGTCTGACACACACACACTCTGTGACTGCCTCACACCCTCTCCCGTGGGTCTGAAGGTGTTCCCAGTCTCCTCCCAGCCCGTGGGGAGGGCAGCTCTGGATATGGGGCCTCTGAGCCTGATGCTTCTGGGCACGCTCCCAGATTGCCACTGGGGCTTCCTGCTGCCTTCACAGTGGCCGAGGTTGAGCAGGATCAGATCTGGAGCCCAGTTTAACCAAGGCTGCCCCTGTGTCAGACCCGTATTTCCCCTCACCAGGGTATGTTCCTGTATCTGTTTCTTTCTTTCCCTGCGCTTGTCCACTGCGATGTTCATCACCATCATCTCCTCTTCCTCCTCTTCCTTTTCCTCCTCCTCTTCCTTTTCCTCCTCCTCCTCCTCCTCAGATCCTCAGCTCTTGAAGACAGTATTAAACAGTACGAGCAGGATCTGGCCAGGAAGCTGTACCAGTCCCGGCAGTGGGCACCTGCTACCGGGGCCAGGCCAGCTCAGATGTCTAGCCCAGTGCAGAGTCACGCCTCAAGAATCCCTGGGTCAGGAGGCCAATCCAGGTGTGCACAGCCCCCTCCCCACACCTGCATGCTCCTGTCCGTGTCCCTGTGCCCCAGCTGGGGCCTCCTGGGGCAGAAGGACATGGGAGTGGTCCCCTGGTGTCCATTGCCCAGAGAACGAGGGGGGATGCTGGGGCTGTCTGATGGGGAGAAGGGTGCAGACGTCTCTGAGAATCCCAGACTGGTTTGGGTTGGAGGGACCTTAAAGAAAGGTCCACCCCCTGCTATGGGCTGGGACACCTTCCAGCAGACCAGGTTGCTCAGAGTCCCATGCAGCCTGGCCTTTTATGATCTCCTGGTGGCTGAGGAGGATTAAGATGCAACACACTGAGCACAGAGGACAGCAAAACCCTGAGAACTGACCCCACTCATGTGATCCCTGCAGTTCTGTCCCCAGCTCAGGTCCCTGTCCCATCATGTGGCACCTCTGGGACTGCCTGCAATGCATTGAGGCGTAGCTTCATGCTCTGTCTGTCTGACACGTGGGATAACGTGTGTTTTGGGATGGCAGCCAGCCCAGCTGTCCTGCCCTGCCTCGGGGACGCTCGGGGGTTTCATCCCACCCATCTGCTCTCAGCCCGCAGGCTCGGGCCGGCCACTGGGTGCAGATGGCGTGTGGTCCCTCACCAAGGGGGCAATGGCTGATGGTTTTTTTTCTCACCCCCTCATTCCTGAGGCAGGATGAAATCACTGGAACAGGATGCTCTGAAAGCCCAAATGGTTATTGCCAAGTCCAAGGAGGGGAAGAAACGCAGCACACTGGAGCAGCTGGCAGAGTCGCCATCGCCCGCCCCGACGCCGTCCCCAACACCGCTGGAAGGTACTGCACGGCTGCCAGTGCCTCCAAAGGTCACAGGCAGTGCTCCTCGAGCTTAACCTGCTCAGAAGCAGAGCTGTGGGAAGCAATTCCTTCCTTCAGCTTGGTTGGAAGGTCCTGGGGGGGCATGTGACATCTCTCAGCATAGGGAATGGGCCTGAGCTGTAGAACATGAGAGCACCTGAGGTAGAGGTGAGGTTCCAGGGAAAGCCAGCATCCTGACTTTCTGAATAAGCAGGGAAGAGGTGTTTGTTGGGAAGGCAGAAGGCAGGGCCTGCCCTGAGTGTGATCTCACCACACTGAAATGCTGCTGAGTGGAAGGAGCAGGCTTGGGCGGGTAAGGGGGGATATTCACACAGCTGGTCACTAACTGTGCTTTTCTGTCACCCCTTGCAGATTGCAGCCCCAGGAACGTCACTTCCCCGGGAAGGCTGGTATGACGTCCTTCTGCTTGCTTTTGTCACCTCACCTTACCTGAATCCTGGGATTTCCTGGTTACTCGGCCGGGTGTGGGCTGTGCCTCGGGCTGTGGGTCCCAATCAGTCCTTGAGCCAGGCCTGGCTGCCTGGTACAGGGAATGCTGAGGAGGGTGGTGGGTGGAGCTGTACTCCTGGCTAGAGGCACCACCTTTATTGCAGCTCCCATGTAACATCTGCCTTTTTTTTTTTTTTTTTTTTCCCCATTTTATTATGTCATCTGTTCTTTGGTTCCTCACCTCCATGTTCAGAAAGCTTTTCACCATAATCAGAAAGTCTTTCCTCATGCTCAGAAAGCCCTTTCTTGGTTTCGGAAAGCCTTTCACCAGAATCAGAGAGCTTTTCCCTGGGTTCAGAAAGCCTTTCCCCATGTTCAGAACTACTTTTCCTGGGTTCAGAAAGCCTTTCACTTCAGGGACTTTGCCCCATGTTTCCTCAACAGCATAAAACAGACCCTTACAGACCTTCAGCTGCAATTAGCATTTTCCTTTTCCTAACCCTGTGTAAATGCCAGGGGACATTGTTGTCCAGAACTGTCAGAATTGGTGAAGACCCCCAGGGAAGCGTGGGAGCAGCTGCACAGAGGGGACCTGGTCCTGTCAGGTCACACCATAACCTAGACCAGGATTGGAATCCTGACTGCTCCCGCTATCAGTTCTGCCATGAATTTCCCAATGAAAACAGGTTTCCTGCCTGACTTGATGCGCACGAGCATTTCACTGGGGCACATGATGTTTCTCCTCTGTGACTTGGAACCCCCCACCCTGACACGAGAGCAGCTCCAAAGGCGGTGTCCCAGGGGTGCCCCATGTTCCAGGCTCTGCCCCAGCACTCCTGGCTCTCCCCAAGGATGTCCTTCTGCTTCTGCTCTCCCCAAGGATGTCCTTCTGCTTCTGCTCTCCCCAAGGATGTCCTTCTGCTTCTGCTCTCCCCAAGGAGTCCTTCTGCTTCTGCTGTGATCTCTGCGTAGACTGCTCAGTTTGCTGCTACTTCTCCCTCCATTTCTCTCCCCTTACTTTCTTCTCTGTTTCTTCCCTTCTGCTGTCCCTTCTAGTCCATGTCTGAAAAGAAGTTTGACTACCGGGAATTTGCTGCTATTCCTTCCTCCAAACCTGTTTACGAAATCCAGGTATAAAACTGCATGCTGAGCCGCCTTTAGGTTGGTTAGGGCTTGGTTTGAAGGAAGAGATGAGGCTGAGGGCTTTGGGGAAACCCTTTGCAGAGGCCTTGCCTGTGTGGGGGCAGTGACACCAGCCTTGATGAAACCCCGAGGGTTTATTGGAGGCTTCAGACAAGTGGAATCGGGAAAAATTTGGTCTAGGTGGTTTTAAAATGAATGACAGAAGCTTTGCAGATATAAAGCAGATGAACCTTCACCTTGAATGGGTCCTGAAATATTTTTTAAGTGAAAGGTGAAAACTAAAAGGGAAGGAAAAGCTGTAAAATTATTGCCACCAGAAGGCAAATTGGAGCAGATGTGAACTTCCAGGTGGGTGTGTCTGGCATCCTGCCCAGGAAGCAGCAGGGTGTCAGTTCTCATGTTCTGCTGTTGGTGAGCTGTGGAGGAAACACCCAGTTCCAAGGGTGAGCACCATGGCGAGGTGCTTCTCCTTCCTAAAATAAGCTCGTGTAAGCTGCTTTGTCACGGAATCCCAGCTGGAACTACTCACCCAGTGCTGGAAGCTATAACTGCCTGTGTCAGTCAGTCACTGATGGCATTTGTGACGCCTGATTTGAGCAGATACCCTGTGTCTAAATGTTTTTAGGTGTTTTTTTTAGCTTTATATAAAGACAGTGAAGCAGATACCTGTGTGTGGAGAGCCAGCAAGTGCTGCCACTTGGGCTTCAGCTTGCTGTGGGGCACAAAGATTGTTGTTCCAAAGCCAGGCTGGCTCCAGCAGAGCTGTGATTTGAGAATTCTCAGTCAGTTTTACATGATTTGATGTCTATTCTTCGCTGACACCTCTCCCTGGTGGTGTTGCTCAGCCCTTGGAAGTCACTCATCTTTTTCTCAGAGTTCCTTCCTTTGGGATGTGACCTTCTCCAGGTTCTGTACCAGGCAAGTTGGAGGACTTGGCTGCTCGAGCCCTGTGGCAGCTCCAGACCACATGGATTACCCCAAGTGCAACAGTGGGTCTTCACACAGCTCAGAAGGTGCCTCCAAAGGAGGCTGCACCTCCAAATCCTCAATTGGAGGGACTTTAAAGTTCCTCTCATTCCACACCCCTGCCATGGGCAGGGACACCTTCCATTAGACGAGGTTGCTCCAAGCCCCGTCCAACCTGGCCTTGAACACTTCTGGGGCAGCCACAGCTTCTCTGGGCAACCTGTGCCAGGGCCTCTCCACCCTCACAGGGAAGGATTTCTCCCTAATATCCAATATAAATCTCCCCTCTTTCAGCTTAAAGCCTTTTTGTCCACTCTTTACGCTCTCTGTCTTTCGTGTCACTCCCTCTTCTCTCTACACCCAGGTCAGGCAGCAGGTGCTTGACCTGGGCACGAGGGGCTCGCTTGGAATCAGGAGCTTTCTCTGAGGGCAGCAGGTTCTCCACAGGGTGTTGGAAGGCTGGAGGTGGGGAATTACCTGGCACAAGTGTTACAGGGGTGGATGGTCACGTTTGCTGTTCTCTTCCAGTCGCCCGATGCAGCTGATGACCTCAGATACGTCGACGACCGAAATAATTCAGGTAAGCCCATGGCCAAAGGAGTTGCCTTTGTACTACTCGCTCCCCACCATGGTTCTAGAGGGTTCCCCTTTGCTTGGGGAACCACCCAGAAGACTTCACCTTCTGCTGCTTGACGCAGTGTCCTGTTTTGTCTGTTCTAGAATGAAAAGTCCACCCTCACCACATTCATTTTGGGTAGGATATTTGCATTGTGCTTTAGTGAAGACTAATTTGCCCAGCGTGATGTGTAACAAGCATGCCTGGTTTTCTCCAGATTTGTGTCCTGGAGTGGAGTGGTAGTAGGATGGGGCAGGGAAGTTTTGGCCTCTGTCACCTGCTGGAGGTGAATGATGTCTCTCGTTCAGGGCTGCCTTGTGCCCCTTCTGCTGGAGAGGGAGTCGTGGAGGTAAATCCATCCTGGTGCAGACTCGGAGCGCTTGCTGCTCCAGTACCTTGGTGGCTTGTGCGTCTGTGGGCGTAATCACCTCAATCAGCAGGAGTTAAAGGCTCTGCAGCTGTATCTCCAGGCTGTCCAGCTGGGGTGTGTGTGTCTGTCTGTCCCCAGCTGTAACGGAGAGGTCAGACTATCCCCCGGTTCATTCCACTGGCTGTAGCAGCCCTGTGGAGCTCAGCAGAGTCCACCTGCTCTGTAGGAGCACTTCTGTTTCTCCAAAAGTTGGTGCTGGTTTGCTTCTACCTGTTTTGCAGATCTTCCCCCGTTATTTGACACAGGAAACAGTTTCTTGTATGTTGACAAATCCTCCTGAGTACAGGCTGCACCCTGTAGACTGCTGGGCTGCTTCCAGAAGAAGGTTCTGCTGCAGGACTTAACAAATCATACTTTCCTGAGAACAGCAGCTGAGCAGCTGTTCTTTATCCCTCAGACTCATCCTCTCAGCCCTGGATTATTCTCTTGAGGTCATCCATTCAGTCAGTGCACGGAACTGGGAGCTCATGGTAGGTCTGGGAAATACCAGCCATTGCTCAGGGCCTTCAGACCTCACTGTTGCCTGACACTGCTCTGTTGGGCCCTCAGATGGGATAAAAGCCAGGAAGAAAAGAGTGTGGTGCTCACTGAGAGTTTTTTAACCTGGTCCTTAGTCCTAAAGTAATCTTTATGTCACCTGTGATATGTGTGAGGCACCAAACAAATGCAAGTTTTCCCAAATCAGCTGTCAAGGATGGCAGGTGAGGATGCAAGGAAACTCTCTTGGGATGGGACAAAGCTCTCCTGTTTTTTATAGATCCCCCCACCCCACCTCACTCTTTTAGGCAGCGCAGCATCCCGGCCAACATAATCAGAATTGTTCTTGATCACGGGATTATGGCTTTTTGACTCAGCAATTCTTAAACTTTGTGATAGCAGGAACTCTGAGGATATCCAACTGCAGGAAAGCATTGGCATCTCAATCCTCCCAGCACACTCTTGTCCGTGCAGAAACAGTTCCCTCCATTCTGGGTCCAACTTTATGGTCGTTGTCTCTTAAATGTGTTTTAAAACCTTTATTTCAAGGTTTCAGTGGGGCCACGGAGTTAGTGAACTGCAGAGCAGCATTTTTAGGGTGGAACCATGCAACGCGCTCGTGTTACGACGTAACTTCTCCAGATCACCTGGAGCCAGAGTCTTTTGCTTCCCAGTCCTGTAACTGTCAGGTTCCAGAAAACCTCCCTGATAACCTGTGTGTTGCACCTGTTCCTGGAAACCTGCTTATGGGATGCGAGAAGCTGCTTTTGTCCCCGTGGTCTTTGTGCACTTGGGCTGTCTGGTATCTGCAGCAGCTCCCACGGGAACTGTGCCTCATCATCCTGCCTGGTTTATTTGCTGCTGGATAACGAGCTTTGGCAGCTCATACCCACAGAGAAACCAAAAGTGTTCTCTCTGCCCCCTTGTGCCTTTCATTTATTCCCACCCAGGCTTTTTAGCCACATCCCTACTCCAAAGACTTGCATCCGTGCTTTTCTTCTCCAGACTTCCGTTTCCCAGATTCTTTCCCACCCAAATGCCAACATTTCACAAAACTGGAATCTCTGGATTCATACCCGTAGCAGTGCCTGTGTTCTCCTTCAGTATTTCCTTGTTTCTCTCAGGGTGGGAAGCATGTAAGGGAGGCTTGTACTGGTTCAGGACACGCCAGGATCCTGTTTGACTGGAAGTTGGTTCTTAGGGTAAGACCAGAAGAAACAGAGAAAATGAGCTTGCATAGATGGATTTTTTGGAATTTTCTGGAATCACCTATTGCATAGGCATGTCATAAGCCAGGTGTTGTGTCTGGATCAACAATGGAATGAGCTTCTATAAAAACTGTCCAGATATTGTTTACCTTTCATGATGCTTCGTTCCATAATGAGGCATTTTGTTTACTTTAGTCATTTCTTGATAGTTCCCTCAGACCTTCTGGGAAGCAGTGAGTGACTGTGTCTCACTTGCTCTCTCCGTGCCAGTCATGTCAGCCAGTGTCACAGCAGTTCCCTTCTTTTCGGGCCGAGGAATCCTGTTCCTCTTAGTGAGGAATCGTTCCCACACCCACCTGGACCTTTTTTATTTCATCTGCTTCTAAGGTAGAGGAGGAGAACCAGGGCTGCCTGCAGCGCTCAGACATAGCTGTGAGGTTTGTGCAGGAGAGAGCATTCTAAATCGTGTTCTCCCACCTTTTCCAGTACCTGGACCTCAAAAGTGAAATGGGGGGGGATTGCTGTGAAATTGCCAGTGTTTACAGAAAGCTCTGCCAGTGCCTACAGAACCATCATCTCATTTAAGGATGGTGCAGGTTTTTTATGCAGTCGGGATTCTGTTCCTTTTATTGAGTTTAAACATCATTTACATAAGTAAAACTGAACTTACTGAGTCAGCACAGGGCTCTGCCGGATTCTGTAGATGATCCAGGGTCCAATGGGAGCCACTGGCAATGCCAGAAAAGGACATAAAAAAAGAAAAGCAGGAAGTGGTTCTTTCCAGACCTGCTCCAGGCTGCAGTGATCAGTGGGTTTGCATTTTCTAAGCCAGAGGCTTTGACTTTAGGAGTTCTTTCTTTCCTGAATCTATCCACACTTGCAGTAAATTTCCCCTTCTGCATCGTTTCCCCCTGAACTCTATGGATCGTGGTGCACTTGTTATAGCTGAGCTTCAGTTGAGTCCCTGATAGAGCTTGGTGGCATCAGAAGTTCCTCCCAGCACAGCCTTCATCACTCCTCCTCCTCCTCCTCATTAGCTGCCAGATACTCACCCTGGTAGGGTCCTGGCTGCTGGGTGTTGTGGTGTCAGGTGGCACCTTCCTGCCCTTTTCCTGTGGTTTCACCACTTACTTGCCCACCAAAGCTGCCCTCTGGAAGTTTGTTTTCAGTAGAGCTTCGCTTGGGGAACAATCCAAGGGTTTTTAAAGCTCGGTGTGCTGCGTGGGGATCACTAAACCTGCATGTTTGGGGGTTCTTTTGGCCAATTCCAGCCTTAGGGGTTCTGAAAGAACTGACTCCCCTCTAAGCCACAGGATTTTCTTCTCCATCCACCACCCACCCACCCGGGCTGGATTTTTCCTGCATGTGCCCATGACTTCCTTTTATATCTGTTTGTCTTGTCTGGGAGTCAGTCACCTGCCTCCCAACCCCAGGGTTCTGTCAAGGGGTTGGACAGGCTGGGAGAGCTGAGAGTGTTCACCGTGGAGAAGAGAAGGCTCTGAGGAGACCTTAGAGCCTCTTCCAGTGACTAAGGGGGATCCAGGAGAGCTGGAGAGGGACTTTGGACATGGGCCTGGAGTGCCAGGGTAGGGGAAGGGTTTCCCACTGATTGGCCTGGCTGTGGAGCAGAGGGTGGGACACTGGGCACAGCTCAGCAGACTGAGCCTTTTGTCTGACAAATCTTCGTGGATTTCTCTGTTTGAGGTTCTCTGCTACATCCAGGCTTTAGAGAGGCTTCCCAGGAGCCCACTTGCTCTTGAAGCTCATGGATTGCCTATGCCCTGCTGAGTTGTCCCTCCAGCGGATATTGAGGTGGTTGAAGTCCCCCATGAGGACCAGGGCTTGTTAATATGAGGCTGCTTCCATCTGTCTATGGAGGCCTCATCCATTCAGTCTTCCTGGTCAGGAATGTCACCTGTTCCTTCAGTCCTGACCCCTGAGCTCTGGTTGGCTTCTCACCCCTCCCCAGGTGCAGTTCCAGCATCCAGCTGGGCACTGACGTAGAGTGTGAGTCCCCCCCCACCTCATCTCCCCTGCCTGTCTGTCCCTAAGAGCCTCAAGTGCTCCGGTCACAGGAACCATCCCACCACATCTCTGTGATGCCAGTAAGTTTAAAGCCCTCCTGACCATCTGGGCCAGTCTGTGACTGAAGGTGCTACTCCCCCTCACTGACAGAGGGACTCCCTCATGCCCTGCAGACCTGGGTCAGGGCAACTCTGTGATCTGTAGGGCAGAAACCTTTCAGGACACTCAGTTTTTCCTAAGGCTTGGCTCTTCCAGTCACGTTCAGTGAACGGTGGGTGTTGGAGCCTGGTGTCTCCTTACTCATGGGACTTCCTTCCCGGGATCCACAGTGGTCACTACATGACCTACAGGTCACCAGAAAGTTCTGGGCACGAGGTTGCTGTGAGTCACTGAGACTTCTAGCACCTGGAAATACACGGGAACATTCCCTGGAAGTGCCCAAGGCCAGGTTGAATGGGGCGTGGAGCAGCCTGGGCTAGTGGAAGGTGTCCCTGCCCATGGCCGTGGGTGGCGTGAGATGAGCTTTAAGGTTCCTTCCCACCCAAACCAGTTTATGGTCCTGTGATACCCTAGACATCTGCATTAACTGTGCCAGTTGAGTGCTGACAGAACCACGGGGTGGTCTGGTTGGGAAAGGACTTGACAAATCACCCAGTCCCACCCCCTGCCCTGAGCAGGGACACCTTGCACTGTCCCAGGTTTCTCCAAGCCCCGTCCAACCCGGCCTGGAACACTTCCAGGGATGGGGCAGCTTTTTTGGGCAACCTGTGCCAGGGCCTCACCATCCTCACAGGGAAGGATTCCTTCCCAGCATCTTATCCAATTTAACCCAGCGCTTTCTCTTCAAACCTCAACATCTCTTGTCCTTGCAGTTCCCCGGGAGCAGGATGGGCAGCCAGAGGAAGAGGACACGTTAGGACCACGGGATCCATCAGCACCAACTCCCTCAGCCCTGGAGGACATGGCCCTGTACAGCAGCAAGCGCAAGCTCCGACACAGCCGGCGCAGTTTGGAGACCGCTGTCCCCACGTAGGTGACCCGACACACCTGGGCGATGGACGAGCCCGGCACAGCCCTCCTGAGCTTCCTGTGCTCCAGGGACAGCACCGGGCTGCCACCCTGCCGCCTCCAGACTCTGGATGGGACCTGAACAGCCTGGGAGCTCTGCGGCCAACTGACTCCTCCGAGGCTGTTGAACCACCCTCGTTTCTCACCCAACAGCGCACTGGGGCACGTCCCGAAAATGGGACAACACTGGACTGACTGCTGGCAGATGGAGAGGAGGGGTGGGCAGGACAGTGGGCAGCTCGTTAGCCTGTATATATTGTGTGTGGGGAAGGGTAGGACAGGGAGAACGTAGGAGTGTGAGTGTGTTGGGCTCCAGCTGTTACTGCCTCAACTCGGTTTTTGTAGTGGTTAAAAGGAGCTTTTCCTCTGGTGGGAATCGGGAGGAAGGTCCAGCCTGCCTTTACTCCTATTTAATTTTCAGTCTTTTGCCAAAAAGCATCTCCTCCCACCTCCTGCACTGTGTCACCTCACTTCCCTCCTTTGGGAGTGTGTGGGAATGGGAAGCTTGGAGGCAAAAAAACAAAAAAAAAAGGTAATAAAAAGGAAAAAAAAAAAAAACCTGCAGAATTCCAGCAAAGTGCCTCCCTCTGCCACTGACACTGTGCTCAAGGAACATGCCAGAGCCTGGGCCAGCTCTGTGCCACCTGCCTCTGTCCTGGTGGGACGCTGCTCCTGCTGGGACCCTGTGCAGTCCTGGGGACAGGTCCTTCCCTGGATGGACACGTCGCCGTGTGTCACGTGGCGTGGGCAGCTCCGCGAGCACACGCGTGTCAGAGGAGGCCAGGCTCTGTCTTCTGTAGCACTGGGGCTGAACTGGTGGACTGGGGCAGGAATGGGACAGAACCGACAGCTGTAGCAGGGGTTTAGGGTGCGTGTGACAGCAACGGGGAGCGGGATAGTTGAGGTAGGACACGGTGGCAGAGGTGGGAGGTGTGACTGCAGTACCTTAGTGGGTTAGGATTCAGAAACTCGGAATGGGTAGGACGTGGCGTTGCTGGGGTCAGATTGAGAATTACAGGGTCTTACAGGTAGGAATACTGGTGGGGAGTCCACAGTGTCCATGGCTGGCTGTGAGGTGGAGGAGGGTGGCACGGGAGGCCGTGGGGCTGGCAGGGAGCACTGGGAGCACCACGGAGCAGGACGGGGCTGGCCTGTGCCTTGCAATAACTACACCGTTCCACTTTGCCAGCTCGTTGGCTTCAGGCCCCTTTCCGTGGAGAACAGGGACAAGGAATGTTTGCCCAAGCGAGAGGGGAAAAGGAAAAGGAAAAATGAGCAGGGGTGTGAGTCCTTGGGTGTGAGTTCTGGTTTCCACACGTGGAACAAGGGCTGCAAGCAGGTTCTGTGTCACGTGAGCTCTGCAGATGTGGAGGTCACAGCTGCTGCTCCCAGCTCTGCCATCAACCTCTGCTGCCACTACTGAGGGGAAACAGCCCCCTTTCTTTTTTTTTTTTTTTTTCCACTGCCTCTAACTGGGAGGAAGGTCCAAGCTCGGCCTGATCCCACTCCCCGTCCATTGGTGCTTTCTGACTCCCCAGCAAGACCAGGGTTGCACCTTGAGCCTCACAGTGGCTGGGCAGCAACAGGCACATCTGCTTGTACATTTGCTGAAGGAAAGAAACGGATGCAGTTTTCTGGGTGCAAGTTTTTTGTTGAGCCTCTCCCTTCATGCCAAAATCCAGTGGATCATTTTAACTGGCCCTGTATGCTTCGATTTTACAGATCTGTGAAGGGGGAACTCTGATAATCTCTCATTGCAGCCGTGGCTGCTTCCATCATCAGCAATTTGAGCTTTTTCCTTTTTAAATCTAATTTTAGCATTTGCTTTTTAACAACAGCAGTTTTGGAAACAGTCCTGGCTGGGTTTTGGTGACTAACTTGTGATTCTTCTCTCCTTTCCCTGTGCGGTACCTGGTGCCAGGCTCTGGGTTCTTTCCCGTTCTCTTCTGAGAGACTCTGAGGGAAAATTAGCGCATCAAGACTGTAACTAGTGAAATTTGTACAACCAAAGAAATCTATTTTGTGGTTCAAGGATAATAAAGTTTACTTTACATTTTAGAGCCTTTAGTCACTGTGGTTTGCTCTGTGTGAAGTCCGCAGTTTCGGTACCGACACTTTGTTGGTGCAAAGATGCTTCTGATTTTCCTGCTTTTGAGATCAGAAAGTAATGCTCACTCAAATCAATGCCAGTTGTGAGAATGCCAAAATTCAGAGATGGGAAAAAATCCAATACGAAACACAGGGATACCAGCAAGATCTTCAGCCTCTTGGCTTTCCTCACTTGACTCTGTTTAAAAAAAACCTCCAACGCTATTTTGTTTACATGATCAAGTTTTTAAAAATATGGTTTGACTGGTAAAAACTGACCTTGTTTCCTGTAGCCCAAACAGGTTTTCCTTGGTCTGGATTAGTGGATGGGCACCAGGGTAGTGCCAGACCTCAGCCTCATTCTCCCACCTGTGCCACAGGTACAGCTGGAGAAGGAACCTTTGCTACACCCTGTGGTACCTCAGGAACAGCTTTGTCCTAGGTCCCTTCCAATGCCAACCATGCAATGATTCTGTGATTTTGTTATAAACAGGAATAGAAATAACACAGTTAAAGATATGGGGAGAATGCAAAGATCTTCAAGGTTGCACAGAGACGGAGCACAACTGGCTGGGTGGAAGGTTTTCAGGGAAGACTCTTACAGCTGAATGTCTTGTGTAGCAGCACAGTGACTCACAGACATGCTCTGGGAGTTGGAGGGAAAGGGAATGTCTTATCAGGACACAGCTCTAGGTGTGAACCTGCACAGCCTGCCCCTCAGGTCCTGCTAAATGCAAGTTTTCTTGGTTTCAGGAGTCAGTCCTGTCTGGTATTGGTGCACAAGGTGAAGGATTCCTTTGTTCCTTCCCTGCATCTCCCTCCATATATAACAGCAGGCAAGTGTCTGGAAGACCAATAGGATTCTCTTCAAGGACTGTCTGCTGAGAGAGAAGGGGCTGCAAACCCCTTCATGGAAGCTGCAAACCGCAAATTTCCCTGTGTGTAGTCAGCTCTGCCAAACCTATCCCTTGGAATACCTGGGATAACCAGAGAGTGGAGGACACACGTTCACCTGCCACCAGCTGCTTCTGGAGACAAATGGCTGGAGGAGATGAAGCTGTGCTTGTAACTCAGTGCCACTTCTGCTTGCTGGTACGTTTTCTGCAGCCAGAAACCACCTGCCCCCATCCCAACCTCATTCTCCCCCCTCCTTCGAGTTTTCCTCTGCTTTTCCTTTTACCCCATGGAGTGACCAAGGCACAAGCTGATTTCACACCTTGTATCAAAGGGAGTAATTAAAGTGTTACTGAAATCAGCCCATTTCACTCTGAAGTGAAAGCAGGCTACAAGTAAGTGCTCAGATAACTGGCATCTGTATCTTACCCGAGGCAGCACCACAACACATCAGACTGCAACTGCAACGATCCTGGAGGATGGAGCCTCCCAAACAGCTGGTGCCTGTTTCCCACAGGAATGTGTAATCTTACCTCAAATTTCATATGTATAAGAAATCAATAATAGAACAATTACTCCTATAAATGAGAGACCTTCCCCCCACCACCTCTCCTCCCATGGCACACAAAGGGTTTCCCTTAACAGGGCTGCTGGGAAGGCAGGCTCATGGAGATTCCTTTTCCGGCCATCCCAGTGGTCTTCTCTATATCAGTAATATTGTGACATCTCCTCACCATATACAGATAAAATGACTCCAAACTCACTGTCCATTCCATGGATTTTTGTCTCCAGCAGCATGTCATCCTTGTCCTGATTACATCTCTCCATGCAGAAACCAGAATTCCATTATCCCTACAGTTGCAATGAGGGTAAATTTGAGGCAGCTGCACCTAAATATGAATTGACATTTACTGTAACTTCACTATTTCCTCCCCTGTCAGAGAGAAACAACTACATCCTCCCCTTTGGTCCCAGTTTTGCTCATTCATACCTAAATCTGGTCCTTCCAGTTGGGTTTCCTGACCACCTGCCTTTCCACGGTGTCACACTGATATGGTGACCCGAGAACTTTTGTCCTGTTCTGCCCCCCAAAGTCCCTGGCACCCAGTTATCTACAGCATCCCTTCTCTGTCCCTGAACTCCTGTGGAATCCAGCCACTCCTCCCAGCACTATTTGAGATTTCCTCAGCTTCTCATCCTGCTGCCTCCACATCTGGCAGTTCCTCGTGTCATGTCCTGCGCTGTCTCATGTCCTGATGTCTCAGCCCCTGCATGAGAGAATCAAACGGATTCTCTTTGATTCATTACTGGGGTTTCTTCTAAGACACAGATCTTATAATCATCACATGCCCTTGTCCACAGTCCCTCTCCAGCTCTCTTGGAGCCCCTTTAGGCCCTGGAAGGGGTTCTGAGATCTCCTCAGAGCCTTCCCTTCCTTGAGCAAGGACTGGAGTGACAGGACAAGGGGGAATGGATTCCCACTGCCAGAGGGCAGGGATAGATGGGATATTGGGAAGAAATTCTTTCCTGTGAGGGTGGGGAGGCCCTGGCACAGGTTGCCCAGAGAAGCTGTGGCTGCCCCTGGATCCCTGGAAGTGTTCATGGCCAGGTTGGACGGGGCTTGGAGCAACCTGGGATAGTGGATGGTGTTCCTCCTCAGGGCAGGGGGTAGGACTGGATGGGCTCCCTTTCCACCCAAACCATTCTATGGTTCCATGATTTTGTGATTCTATGAATGATCCACTGAGAGCTGATTTTCCCTTCATTAACTCCAAAATACACATTATTGTTTATGCACTCACACATGCTAATGAAGCAAAAGCTGCACATGCTTCACTTGTGCGACTAAAGGTGCTCAAACTCCACCTAAACATGAATTGACATTTGACTGTAACTTCACTCAGAGAACACGCCATGAACAGAAATTCCTACATGGATGTTTCTCTGTATTCCCCAAATATTATGAATGTATCCATATCATAACCATGGGAAAGCATCATCACTGGATTAATGGACTGGGCAATCATCATCTGGCCAAAGCAACCTGAGAACTACAGAACTTTCTTTTGGCAGAAACGGGACAGGAGTGGGTGGTAACATTTCCCAGGGCAGGTTCATAGAATCTCAGAATGGGCTGGGTTGGAGTGACCTTAAAGGTCACCCAGTCTCACCTCCTGCCATGGGCACCTTCCACTAGACCAGGTTGCTCCAAGCCCGACGTTTCCTGGGACAGGGTTGCCACAGCTTCTCTGGGCAGAGGGCAAAGTCCTGTCCAGCCAGCTGATAACCAGCTCCATTCCCCCACGTGACCAGCTCTCCCAGCGAGGGGGACTGAGGGGAGCCAGCAGAAGATTTTTTTTTTTTTAATTTTAGCAAAACTTTGGACTCTGTCTCTCCCCGGATCCTTCTGGACAAGGTGTCCAGGGCAGAGCCGGGACCATCCATCCTGCACGGAGTGAGCAGCTGAGTGAGCAGCCCCCCGACGGGCTGGGCTCGGGGTCACAGTGAATGGGGGTGACTTCAGGCTGGCGGCCGTCACGGTGGGGGGGCCCGGGGTCCATTTCAGGCTCGGCTCGTAAATGTCTTCAGGGTCGGGATGCAGAAATCGACGTTCATTAACCGAGTCGGCCGACCATCCTGAATTAGGAGCTGTGGCTCCCTGGAGGGCAAGAGGCCTCGTTCGGGCGGTCCCGGAGGGCTGGGCGGGCACCGGCAGAGTGCCGGGGCTGCCCGGGACGGGCGGGGACGGGGGGCACAGGCGGGTCTTGGCGCGGATCCCCGGGCGGATCCCGGGGCGGATCCCGGGGCGGGCGGTCCGGCAGCGCTGCGGTCTCTGCAGTTTCATCGGCTGCAGAAGCCATATATACCCGCGGTTCTGCCGAATTCTCAACTGTTTGATTCCCTTAAACCGGCGTTCTAAAGCAGGGCTCGCCGCGCAGCGAGGCCGGTTCTCGCTTCAGGGAGGGCAGAAGAGACGCGGCGCATCTGCCAGCAAAATCCGTTTGTCTTCTCTACAGTACTGGTTTGTATAAATAATGTCTGGGTTAGAAATGAAAATGTGACTCCTGTGACTGAAGATGGAGACTCTGCCAGTGGAGGGATGAACTCTGGCCCCGGAGATCCTTGTTCCTGTGGGGAGGCGTTAATTGGTCCAGCCAAACAGATAGGAGTTTCCTCTTAGTTCTTACTGGATGTTCTGAATCCCTCGTCTGCACTGGGGACTCTCCAGTTTGGTCACAGGTTAAGGCCAGGCGACCTGATCCCAGGGATCTTCCTTAGGTCGCTCCTGCGTTTTTCCACAGAGAGGAAAGGATGGCCGTCAGAGCTGAACACTGGTAAGAAAAAAAAAACAACAACCACCAAAACCACCCTCCTTCCCTTCCCTGCCGCCCCCATGGTACCCAAACAGTGCTGCTGTACAAATACAACAGTGACTCTTCTCAGGTTATTCCTCATTCAGCCCATTAATTTAAGGCAGTTTTCATTTAAAAATGAATAATTCTAAAATTCTAATGAACTGTGCAAGACCAGGTTTCTGTTCTCACTCCTGTAGTTCCATTCAGATGTCACTCCTGCTTGTTAGAATAATGTGGGATTTCTCCACAGTTCTTTCCAGTAAAAAGTCACTGTGAAGAACTAGAGGGGGATGACTCGTGCAACCACTGAAGAGACTTCTCCATTGCTGTCAGCAGAGCAGGGTGTGGGAATTGGGACTCTGTGAGTTCACGAACACACCGAGCATGCGGTCACTGCAGAAAAACTCAGCTCAGTGTCAGTACCTGGGAGTTCCTGATACTGAGTTGCATAGAAACAGGCAGATCATGTTAAACAGCTTCAGAGCAGACAGATAAAAAGGGAGAAAGCGAAGCTGCACTTAACCCAGATAATCTGCTATCTACAAATGCAGAGCCTGAAAAGATCAAACCTAGAGTGGCAGCCGGGCTGAGTCACCAGCGTGGAGTCAAGGGGAGGATTCACCGCCTTCTCCTCCATTATCCAAGAGCCCAGGGATCTGCACTGCTAGAGAAGCGATTCGAAGAACGAGTTCCTGTTCTCCAGGTCACCTTGTCTCTCTGTTCATGGCACCACTGGGGCCGGTAATGTATCTGTTCCTTATACTCTTGTCAGGGCTCATAGAGGTGATAATCACAGAATCACAGAATGGCTTAGGTGGTAAGAGACCTCAAAGCCCATTCAGTCCCACCCCTGCCATGGGCAGGGACACCTTCCACCAGACCACGTTGCTCCAAGCCTCGTCCAACCTGGCCTGGACTGTAACACTTCCAGGGACGGGGCAGCCACAGCTTCTCTGGGAAACCTGCCTTCTCTGTGCCAGCTCCCATCAGGTCAGATTTCCACGTGTCAGTTTTGGAATCATGGAATCATAGAATCATTAAGGCTGGAAAAGACCTTTAAGATCATGAAGCCCAACCACCAGCCCAGCACCGCCACCATGTTCACCATTAAACCATGTCCTCAAGTGCCATATTCACATGTTTGTTGAATTCTGTGGCACTTGAGGACACAAATCTGTGCAATGCCCTCCTGATTGCTGCTGGGACCTCTCACAGCTCCTGTTCAGGCCGCTGCCAAAACTGGGGGCCACAGCAGTACCCCCAGCATGCCCTGACTGATGCCTGAGGGCTGCGTTGGTTCCTGAGGAGCTGCTGCCCACCTGTTCAAAGTGTTCGCTGCCACACTCTGCGGGCTCTGTCACAGCTGGAGCAGCTGCCACAAATCTGAAACGAGGTCTCACACTCATTCCACGCTCTTTGTTTTATCCCATGTCATTAACCCAGAGATCAGCAATCTAGGACACAAGTGTCCCTTGTGTGCAGGCCACAGCAGAAGGAGCCTGCCAAGACACTGAGGACAAACAGTAATTACCCAGATTACTGCCCTAATCCAGTGTAACAATGCAGACACACACTTGTAATTAGTGAAAACCAAACAAACACCATCTACACATGTACACTGCATTTGTGAATGAAGATTCCCTAAAATAACCAAGATTATTTTGGAAAGAGAACACGAAAATAAACACGACCAACCTTCAGAATAGAAAACCATCAAAACTTCATTACTAATTCCCAAGTGGAAAGATGCAGGTGGTCCCATTTTTGTTGTAGTGTGATGATTAAGGCCCTTTTATTCCCTTGGGAATAGCTTTGAAATCAGCCTTTCGAGGTGATTTTTCATTCAGGAGAAGTCAAACCTACTCTAATAAAATGTCGGTCAGTTGTGTATACAGCAATATGAAACTGAAAGTAAAAGTGTCCAATTTCATAATCAGATTTGAACGTCAGCTTTGAGAAGCTGGAACAAAAAAGGTTCACGAACGTGGTTTAAATGATGGGCAAAAGAGAAAATAAGAGAGGTTTTAAATGTTCTCTTTATTTAATAAAGAGAAGACTGAAAGGTGATAACTAATAGTGACATTACTGAGAAATACTTTAGTCAAATGCAAGTTATGACATTTAATGAGGTGGATTAAATTCTATGTACGGTGTGACATAAAGGCTGAAACATGAGTCTAGGGAGTTGTTCTGACCACAAACCGTGAAGGCCAGTGAATTTTCACTGGGATTTTTCTCAAATAGTAACACCCCAGAATAACACAGGCTCTTGCTGGCTGATAGAATCTAGATCTGAAGTTCACGTGGATTTTAAGTTCCTTTACAGGTCATTTTAGACTATTACAAATCATTGTTATTTAAGGAATAAAAGGTCTGTAAAGCCACACACTGAAACCTTGCGGAAAAATTAGGGAAGCAGTTTAGGCTTGACTTTCTGAGTAATTTCACCAATTCGTGTGTCAATATTGCACAAAGAAAAGCCCCAAACTCAGACTGAAACTGACTTTCCTTACGGGCAGGGTTGGTTCAGCTCAGCTGGTCTCGAATCGCAGCTTCAGACCAGGAATGCTGCTTATCCAACCTAAATTCTATCTGAGATATCAGATAGATGGTTTGGCTCCCTTGTACCCAGGGAGGTTCAGCCACAGTTCATCTTTTTGGTCTAGAAGATCTGAACTGCACCCATGGACAATAGTGACACCATGCCAAAATATATGGGATGCCCGGCCACGATGCAGCCATCTCTGTAGTCGTTACCAAAGTCTGATAAATCCTGCCTTAAACATCTGTATCATAACCATGGCACTGCCAGCAACGTCATCACTTTTGGGGCCTCAAAACAGAGCCTTTGCAGTTTCCTGATGACAAACAAGGTATCATCTCAAAGATGTACATAATCAAAGACAATACTACATTCCATTAGAGAGCAGAAGTGATCCGTCCACAAGAAGAGAAGCCAAGGAGCTGATGAACTGTTACCACAATTCCAGTGCCTGAAGGGGCTCCCTGAGAGCTGGAGAGGGACTTTGGACAAGGGCCTGGAAGGCTAAGACAAGGGGCAATAGCTTCCCACTGCCAGAGGGCAGGGTTAGATGGGCAATTGGGAAGAAACTCTCCCTGTGACAGTGGTGAGTTCCTGGCACAGGTTGCCCAAAGAGGCTGTGACTGCCCCATCCCTGAAAGTGTTCCAGGCTGGGCTGGACAGGGCTTGGACCAACCTGGTTTAATGGAAGGCATCCCTGCTCAGGGCAGGGGGTGGAACTGGATGGGCTTAAAGGTTCTTTCCAGCCCCAACTATTCCATGATTCGATAACTTGATAATGACAAAGTCCAGCTGCTCCCACAGCACTGCCAATGCCACAACTAACCCATGTCCCCAGGTGCCACATCCACATGGCTGTTAAATCCCCCCAGAGACAGGGACTCCACCCCTGACCTAGGCAGACTGTCCCAGGGTTGGACGGCCCTTTCTGGGAAGGAATTTTCTCAACATCCAACCTGACCCCTCCCCTGGCACAACTTGAAGCTGTTTTACCTATCCCTTATTCCCTGGGAGCAGAGCCCGACCCTCTCCTGTCAGGGAGCTGCAGAGAGCCAGAAGGTCCCCCCTGAGCCTCCTTTTCTCCAGGCTGAGCCCCCCCAGCTCCCTCAGCCGCTCCTGGTGCCGCAGCCCCTTCCCTGGGCACGCTCCAGGCCCTTCAATGTCCTCCTTTTCATGAGGGGCGCAACACTGACCCACCCCGTCAGCGTTCGAGGTGCCTCAGCCGCGGGAACACAAGGGGTTCTTTCTGCCCGCCCGCCCCCCGGGACCCCCCGGGACCCCCCGGTCCCGGTCCCGGCCCCGCTGCCTCCCGCCTCCCCGCCATGGCGCCTCCCCCGCCCCCGCCTGAGTCACCGCCGGCCCGGCCCGGCCCTCACGGCGGCGGCGGCTGCCGGGCGGGACGAGCTGGGACATGAAAGGTGGAACAGGCGCTGCCACGCCCGGGGCTGCGGGGAATCTCGCTTAACCCTTCCCCGCCCGCGGGGCCTGGGCTCCGGGGGCGAGTACAGCGATGAGGGGGGGGGAGGCAGGAGGCCACCTCCTCACACCCCCTTCTCCGGCACCCTCAGGGACACCGGGGGGACAGTCCCGCCGCAGGGTCCCCGTCCCGCCGCTGCGGAGATGCGGCCACAGGGCGCTGCCCCCCGACCCCCTCCTGTTGCCACGGTGCCAATTGCCGCTCGACCGCCCCGAACAGACCCCCAGAGTAGAGAAGTGCCCGAGAGCCCAAATCCCCCGTCCCTGGGGGCCGCAGGGCCAAGCCCTGCCCGGGGCTGGGGGCCAAGGTCCGTGCTCGGGCCCATGTCAGGGGTCGGGGGTCCGTGTCTGGGGCGCTGCTCGGTCCCGCTCCCAGCCCCGAGCTGGTCTGACAGGCTCAGGACAGACGGGAAGGGAGAGGCCTCCGGCGGCTCAGGAATGCGCAGCCCTTATCTCTGGCTCCCTGCGCCTGGGGAGGGAACAACGCTCCGGAGTTTGCCTTTCTCTCGCTCTTACTCACCCCCGCTCTGCCCTGGGTGGAGCCTCGCTCTCCAGGCTCCCAGGTGAATCAGGTTGCAGGCACGTCCAGGTGAGCAGAGAGTGACCCACCATCTGCCCCGGCTCACCTGGGAAGGCAGGAGAAGGGCAGGGACCTTGCGGGTACCTGCATGGCCGCCTGAGCCAGAGTGACCCACCACCAGCCCGGCTCCCCTGGGAAGGTAGGAGAAGGGCAGACACAGCCGGGGTACCTGCATGGCTGCGTGAGGTGGAGGGCAAGGGCTGGGGAGGGCCTGCCTTGCTTCTGTGCGCAGGGCTGGGCATCTGGGATCTGGGACGGGGAATTCTGCAGGCATTCCATGGGCAGGAGATGGCTGCTTCTACGCAGGAAGGCTCCAGTGGCAGGAGCTCCCAGTCACGCCGTGATGGGGAGAAGGGAGAGACACAGGAGGAGAAGAGAGAGGCAAGTGGGGAGGAAAAATGTCCCAGCACTGGCAGCAGGGGCTGGGGATCGCAAGGGAAGGGATCCAGAATGTCCCAGTGGTGGCATCAGGGATTGGGGATGGGAAGGGACCCATCTGTCCTCAGATCAAAATTGCTCAGTGAACACTTCACACAACTGTGTCCCGTCCCTTTGAGAAATCCCCAAGGAGCGGGTATTCCCAAACTCAGCCTCAGTCTTTGGGAAGAGTCTTACAGCCTGACTCAGTTCCTCATGACGGAGCCCGAGTCGGCCTCTTTCTTGGATCAGGAATGCAGTAGGGACGTGGTCGGGAGGTTGGCACAGAGGGGACATCACCGGTGGTCGTGCTGGGAGGGCTGAGGTCTGCCGTGTGCGAGGAGCTGGGAAGCAGTTCCCAGGCTCCCGCTCTCCACACGCGTGAGGTTGGGTGTGCAGCCGAGCACCGACACAGCCCGCGAGCCCCGACATAGCCGTGCACGTCCAGGCAGGAGCACGGACGGATGCGCGTGGACACGCGTGCACAAGCACACGTGCTGACACTCGGTGAGTTTTCCACAGGGGTGAGCCTGACAGACCTCAGGATTTGTGTGTGAGCAGAGGAAGGGGACGGTCCCGTGTTCCTCACTCTAAATTGGCTGAGGTCAATAGGGGTCAATTATGGCTCTTGCCTGGCCTGAGGACCAGGTTCTCCATCTTCTGGGACAATTAGAGAGGGAAGAGGCACCTGCGAAGGGACAGGAGTGCTGATCAAATCCTTCTGCT